ATTAACATACTGTATTCTCATGGCAGGACCTGGGACTATATACTGTTGCTGTCATTCATATGCCACTGATGAAGGACAGACACAAATGCTATAGACAGTGTGTAACTAGAGTTGAAAGCATATGGAGAGTTGTGACTGAGGCAGAATTTCATGTTTGAGAAATCAGATTTCAAAGGAATCCTATGTTTAAATCCCAAAGTCCTACTGCAAAACAAAGCAAGATAATTTGCAAACTATGGGAAATGAGAATACTGTAGATTCTTTTACATACTCAGATGCATTCTGAGGAATTCCCTATTCTAGTGATCAGATTATCCACAGTATCTGTTTCTCTCTGTAGTAATCACAAATCTGTCATCTGTTCTTGGTGCAAAGGTGCTTGTGTAGTGTGCAGTTGAGCTCAAATGCTTCCTTGCTCCAAAGCAAGTGCATGGAGGCTCGATTAAGATCAGGACCACCGTACATGTAAACCTTTTCCCCTTTAATTCATCCATTCATGCAAACTGAAGTTTTCTTCCTTTCAGCCCCCACATGGTGAAGAGATAAATTTAAGAGATGATGTGTCAGGGTCGGGAGGTTAAGCTTTCCCTAGTCCCTGTGCCAAAATTTGAACATGGAAATATTAAGAAAGAAAACATGAATCACCGCATGCTATGCTTTTAATGTAGTGCATGATTTGGCCCACAAGGGGAAAGGTGAGCCATTTTAGTATTTTCTTTGCATGAGTAAGTATACACTAGAAAAGTTACATTTCTCAAGCAGAACTTCCAGAAACCTTCCAGTGTAACTGATAGCCTTGTTGGTGAGAGAATTCTGCTGGTGAAAGTCCAAAGGAAAAATGTTTTTAGACTCTGATAGAGACAAATTCTTGTCATATTTGCCTTGTTCACAGACACACAGGGAGAACCTAGAACTGGTGGCAAACAGCAGAACTAGGACCTTGTGTGTGGTCCCAGGTTACAGAAGAGTCATAATGCAGTGGCAGGGCACGTACCAGCTTTAGGCCTTCAGGGTGGACTGAAAAAGACCAATGTGCAAGGAAGGTCTCCTTTGTATTTTACATGAACCTAAAATCCTACTAACTCAATTCGAGGTGCAAAACTGTGGAACAGGAAAGCCCATATAAACAAAGCCTTAAGCATGGCTGGCTTTACCATCAGAGTGTAGCTGTTGTCCCAGAATTTAGTTGTCAGGAAAGGGCAGCAAGTTGTTGTTTACTCAATCTTATTTTGCAAGCTGCCATGTAAAATTAATTTGATTACATTTGGGTACTATGCCCTACCATTTTGGTGGTGGGTGGGATTCTTGTCCACGTCTGATCACTGAGTCAGTTTTATTTAATTAAAGTGTATTCAAAAGGTATGAGACCCTTTGGGACCCCTTCAGCCACTGTTAGGAAGGAGCTGGATGCCCCCCTCACACCACCCCAGAAGGAGCCTTTCAAGAAAGTCCCTGCATTCCGTTTCTCCGGGTAGTTCTCAGGTGGTCTGTGCCCCAGTAAAAGAGGAACTGCAACTGACCACATGAGTCTAGGTGTCCCGTTGAATGGAAAACAATGCTTTTATTAAGCTGAAAGTGTTTAGTAAATATGCCAGGCTAGGCCCAAGTCATGGCCCTACAACCTCTGATGTTTAGTAAATGTGCCAGGCTAGGCCCAAGTCATGGCCCTACTGGATTCTAAGAGAAGTTTATTAACGAAAAAGGAAGCAGAAGTTGCCATACATTGTATTTTAATTGTATTTTAATCATTTTGAAAAAGGAAGCAGAAGTTGCCACTGCCTGATGTCTTGGTCTTAGAACATATGTTGAGTTATAGGCAGTTGGCATGCACACCTTTACAGCCTGATGCCTTGGTCTTAGAACATATGTTGAATTATAGGCAGTTGGCATGCACACCTTTACACAGCAGGGCAAGGCCGAGTGAGATGAACAGAGGACCAGATTACCTGAATTTGCTCATTGTTAATGTTAATTTGTCACATACATGCACAGGGTGTGAGTGGCTGGTAAGGCAGCCACATACTAATACTGTCCAGCTTGTAGCTTAAGCTAATAATGCCCTGGTGCTCAGTTTCCATTTCATTAACTTGAATCGTCCTTGGTCTGGATTTGAAACAGGACCTTATAGGACAGTGATGGTGAACCTTTTTGAGCCCGAGTGCCCAAACTGCAAAACAAAATCAACTTATTTATTTCGAAGTGCCAATACTGCAATTAAAACCCGAATGCTGTGGTTTTAGTTTAGAGAAAACAACTGCCTCTGCACTGCAAGGGTTAAATGCTTGTGTTTTTTCCTAGGGGCAGTATTAACAAAGAAATACTTTCTGGTCCTCCAATCCCCCATTGGGCTAGACTGGTAATGGTCGCCATTGCACCCCTCTTGCTGGACCACTGCACTAGCAGAGGGGAGTGCCAAAATCTGGGATCGAAGAATGAGTAAGTATTTCTCTATGGCGACCTATGGCTCGTGTGCCAGCTGTGGCATGCATGCCATAGGTTCGCCATCTCTTATAGATTTGGAGTCTTGGGGAGGAAACATGGTCCATCACCCAGGACAGACGATCTCTGGAAACTGTAATCTTCAGGGCTACTGAGGTAGCAATAGAAGCATTGATTCTCTATCTGCTCTTATTTAGGGGGGAGGAGTACTCCTGCATGGGGAGGTGGGGAAAGGTACGTCTGCCACAGGGAGCAGAGTACAAACAAGCCCAGTTGGAAGTTCCAATCCCTGAGGCAGTGAGTAAGAGACTTCTGGGTTTGGTGTCTACTTAGCTCACATCAAACTGTTGCCAGCTCAGATAATCTGACATTATACTCAGAAATTCATGTGTATACTGATAGAAAGGATAGATTTTTTTTTTACCCAGATGGTGACTAGCCTTTACTTTCCCCTGCTTTGCTTTGCAATCATGATTATGGTTATTGTCAGCCCTTACTAGAGCACATTGCGTTGACAGAAACGGCTGCATGTGGAGGGAACAGAGTCTGGCAGCATGTAGCTCCAGCCAGTTTTGGCTATGCTTCATCTCTAGACTCTCATATTACCTGAGCCTGGTTGTAGAGACCTCACAGGACTAGCAGCACTAGTGATAAAAAGTGTTCAGGAAAAGTTGTAATGTTGGATTCTGGATCTGTTTTGTTCCCAGTGATGAGTCTGCGGGATCTGGCTGCTATGTTGCCTTGAAAAGATAGCTACAGCCACTGGAGGTGTGTAGAGTGCGCCCTCACCCAAAGTACCACCCAAAGCATCACAAGGCTGAAAAATTGAGCTACGACATTGATGTCTTTTGATGTCTGCAGGCGTAAGAAAATAAACATCTGGCAGAATTTGTCCATGTGCTCAGGTGCTAAGGAAATTTGGCTTCCATTAGCACTGATGTTACAGTACATGCTCAAAAAATATGGATGTTGAGGATGTCAAATAAATCTGGGTGATCAAATAGGAAACAATGTTCAAAAAGGCAAGACATGGTAGAATTGAGATTCTCAGAGAATCAGATTGACTTAAAATATGTCATTTAATACAGAGACAATTGCCTTGAAGACAGAGATGAACCACTACAAAAAGCTCATTGATTTTGTAATACCATGGCCCTCTTGTTAGGCTGAAGGTGAGAAACTTGTATTGGTAGTAAATGGAACTGTACAAAGTAGGTATTTTCTGGACTGCTGTGCAATGAGAATAGGAACATGTATCTCTAAAACATTTCAGAATGGTAGAAATGGCCCTTGGTAGAAAGCCTTCCCGATTGCACATAAAGTCTGAAATGGCAATCTGGTCAACCATGTTATTTGAGACAGTGAAAATGGAGGTAAAACACCTAAGGATGCAGTGCTTTTGCTCCTACTGATAATTGAAGTCACTGTTCTGCATGTGGCCTCATAGTTCTTAACTTTGCACATTTTTCCAGTTTAGATTTGGCTGAAGATGAAGGCTTGCGGGAACCATGACTAGAGGAAGAAAAACAACAAGATTTTTTTTTATTTTGAAAAAAGGCAGAAGATTAAAATTACTAAAAGAACAAGAATAGCACAAAAATAAAATAGAAAAGATTTACAAAAAGAAATAAAGATTGAGCTGGGCAAGGAAGGAGTCACAGAAGGAACAAAGGGTGCAGCCTCTTTTTAAAACCATACCAAATAGCCTTACCTCTCCTGGGTGATGATCAGTAAACAATCTAGCTTTCCAGATGTGTTCCAAGTACTACCCAAAAAAGGAATTAAGAACTGAGAGTGTAGTTTTCCTTCTCTTTTTTAAAGTGGGAGATCCAGCAAACACACTCAACATATCCCTCACTTCCTACGTTTGAATATAATACGAACATAAATAGTGACCTATCTACACCAGGAAATCTGAAGCTTCCAAATACCTAAATACTTTGTATCAAGAAGAAAGTTCTTTCTTTTGTGAGTAAATGTCTATTGAAATATTTGTGTTGTAGGACTGTAATCCCCATTCTACATGAAATGGAACAAGAAATAGTTTGTGTAAATGGAAAAAAATAACTGACTGGGAGAAACAATTAAGGAACTTGCCCCCCCCCCCATGATCCTGAATCCAAGATCCCATCAGTTCCTGAAAGCCTGGGCAGTGAGAAAGAATGATGGAAGCAGGAGTTCATTACCATCGGAAGGGTCCCTGGACTGCCTTGAGGCCCAAGTTGCCTTAGGTGATCATCCAAAGAATAATGCAGAAATAAAAGAGTTATTTAATAATGCAGATGGATAATGACTAAGTATTACCGCATTTCCCCGAAAATAAGACAGGGGCCTTATATTCTACATTTATTCAAATATAGCCATGTCATCTTCTTCTGGTTGCTGCACAATGGTGGAGGGTGGGTTTTCACTTAACTGGGGCTTATTTTGGGGGTAGGGCTTATATTACGAGCATCCTGAAAAATCATACTAAGGCTTATTTTCAAGTTAGGTCTTACTTTTGGGGAAACAGGGTATTTGCTCTTTGTACAAAATCACTGCAGTTCCTTGAGTAAAAAAAATTGCAGCAGGTATTTGAATTTATGCAACATTTATGTACCACTAATGGATTCCTAGGGAAACATAATTTTGCTTTTATTGAAATTGTTTGAACACTTTGTAACATTAAATCTGATTCCCAAGTGGAAATCAACCTTAAGGAAACAAGTGTGAACAGAAAATGTATAAAGAAGGAAGAGCATCCGACCAGCTCAAGGACCAGTACACTGTCTGTAGAAACTCACTCCTTTGCCCATGAGCCTCTTACAAAAACACATAGCAGATGTCAAGTGCTGTGGGCCAGGTGTTCACTCCCACCAAGGATCTGATTTAATCACTGTGGTTCCAGAAAGTGATTAAATCAGATCAGTTACCAGAAAGTTCAATAATAATATTTTTGCCTTTTTTTGTTCACCCACTGAGTACCGAAAAAAGAGAGTACATTTATGTGCAAGTAAGTCTTCAGTGAGCCTGTGGCTTTACAGCAGTTCTTTTTTCCCCCTTTTTATGGCTCTGAAGCAGGATATATTCCACACACATCCTCCCTGCAAAGGTACAGGACTTTTCTTCTTCAGAGAACATTTGGACTAAAGGAGTTGCAACAGAACCTCTGTGTTCAGTGCTACTCTTAGAGACAGGAAATCATCTGAAAAAAGGCTATCCTCTAATTAGCTCAGTCAGCATTAAAGGAGAGCTCTGGTGTTTTATCAACAGTTCTGCCAATACTGATGAAAGACTTCACACAACTGGTACCAAAAAAGAATCATCATGCAAAGAACAGCCACTGTTCCCAAGGATAAAGCTATAAAGATTCATACCTTCCAGTAAAAACACATTTCAAATTATAACAAGCTGTTTTAAGTTAGGATACAGGAATCAAATGCACAGGCAAGTTTAAACAGACCAGCTCCAAAACATACAACAAAGCAACCTAGCAAACATACATACAGAGAACCCCCTCATCTCCAGTACTTGTGATGGGTGAATCTGTAGAACAAATACCCTGCCTGCAGGAAGAACACGTTGCCTATTATTATTTTCGTGGACCTGAGTCGTGAGAACAATAAATACAAAGGAGAGTGTTAAAATGCAGATCTCATCTTGAAGCAGAGAGGACTTCATCCAGATTTGTTCATACCCTTGGAAAGCATTATGTAGCCTCTACAATCTACACAAAGGGGAAGAATGAGAATTCTGACTGAAGGAGAATAATTACCAGTCAAGTGCACCGGATGCTAGAAATCCAGTAATCATTAAATATATCATTGTAAACAGCTAGGATTGACCCTTCTTCCCCCCCTATTTTCCCTTTGAAAGCATTTCCTCACGAAAGGCATCTGAAGCTAAAGTCCTCATATTTGGTTGGAAGTGTTTTGTCCCATCGTAATATATACACATGGAATTTTAACCAGGCACAAGAGAAGTTTTAAACGTTCAACAAGTCCTCATCACTATCATCATGAAATGATACAGTGTTTGTTGAGTTCTGCGCCTTCCGTTGGCCAAAAGCAGTGCTGCCTTTGCTGCCATTGAGCAGCCTTGCCTTATCACCACTTGAATGGTTAAGAGCCTTATTATGATGAGGCCTACTTGTGTCCAAGCCTCTGGAGTGGACATCTCGAGCTGAATGAATCTTCACTTCTGGAATTGTTAGAACTTCATCCTCGCTGTCCATGTCATCAACATGAAGGGATGTCAGGGCCTCTGACCTCACTGTTTTACTGGTTATATGGCCGTTTTCTTGCCCTTCATTTTCTGACTTCTGAGTTGGTGCAGCAATTTCTTCCATGAGCCATTCTGTTTCATTTTCATTTACTTCTTCAGTATTTATCTGTCATGTTCAATAGGGTACAATTATTAGACAGAATTTAAAAGAATTCCCACAGCCACTTTAAACCTATCCAGGACAGACTTCATCTTAAAGAAAAAATTTAGATCAATGGTAGTACACATACTTTTATGCAGGTAGCTCCAAGTTCAATCCCTAATATCTCCATTTTTTAAAAAGTGGCAGTATAGAACTAATGTTAGGAAACGTCTTCATCCCTGGAGAACTGCTACTAATCAGAGCAGACAACACTGAGCTAAATGATCAACTGATCTCATTCAGTAGGAGACAACACTATACAAATGATTTTTTATTTTTATTTTTCTTATTGGCAAAATTCTTACAATATTCAAAAGTTTATCTGAAATAATTTCAATTCAAACACAAGGCAGCAGCTAGTAAGAGGGATAAAGAAAGTTGGGTTAGCTCTTTGCCCCTCAACCTCCTTGGAAAACCCCTAGTAGAAAAATATTGCCTAACATTAAAAGGTGAATCACTGCTCACAGAAGCTTCAGGAGGGCTGAATTATTTTTATGTAGGTTACACACCTCAATCTGTTTAGTGCAAAAACAAACAAACAAACCAAAAAAACAACCAAGCAAGAAAGGAACAAATATCAAACACACACCAAAAATAAGAAAGCCAACAAATTTTTCAAAAGTGGAAGTGAGCTTCTGACCACTTTAAGTTTAGTTCTACTACATTCTCTTGTTTGTTTTGGCATTTTTGGTGATTTAATCGCACACACACATGAATTTTGGGGCCTCTCTGGACCATCTACACATCCACCCCACACCCACATATGAATTTTGGGGCCTCTCTGGACCTATCAAACATTTGGGGCCTTTTAACCTATAAAACTGCCCCACACCCACTCAGAGGGATGCATATCTCAAAGATATGTTTTCTTCATGAAATATTCTTCAAATTATTCCTCCTATGGTAATGTCTACTAATAATGGTTGTTGTAGGTTTTTCAGGCTGTTGCCTAATAATGTTCCCTTAATCATGGGTTATATCCAACATGCTCACTGTTTTGGTGGCATACACCCCTCACCATGCTCTTGAAACCTTCCTATTCCTCCACAGCTGGTTTTATAGTGCACTAAGGCTGTAGTCATCAAAGCCAGTGGTTCTTAACCTTTGTTACTTGGATGCTTTTGAACTGCACCTCCCAGAAACCCCAGTCAGGACAGCTGGTGGTGAAGGCTTCTGGGAGTTGCAGTCCAAAACTCCTGAGTAACCCAAGGTTAAGAACCAGTGATCAAAGCTACCAGAATGAATTTGACACAACTCCGGGAGGCAGTGGAAGATAGGAGGGCCTGGCATGCTCTGGTACATGGGGTCATGAAGAGTCGGACACGACTAAACGACAACGAAAGCTGTAGCGGAGGGTGGTTCCACAGGATTTCATTGAATGAAGTTAACTATTTGATCCTGCTCTGCACAAGGACCTAGCACTACTGGAAGAAATCTTTATAGACTCAAAGGAGTTTGAATTGTTCATTGTACCACTGTATTTCATTCTTGCTGCTGAAAACCTGTTTCCACCTGATAGCTGGGGGGAGAGGGAAAGCTCCTTAACACACCTAGATCTTAAATTCCCTCTCACACAACTGTATAAGATTCACAAATGTTCTGAACAGTCCCCTCCCTTCCTAAGATATGAAGCTTAGACATACAGAAAAACTTCCCTAAAATTCTTCTCAAACTTAGATAACATGGAGGAATTAACTGGGGATCTCTCCATGTGGATTTGATGAACAATTAAGTTTTGTATAACAACAGGTGTTTTTTTTGGAGGAGGGCAAAGCAAAGTTCTCTATGCCTCTTGTGCATCATGCTGAAGTGAAATTCAGTGTCACTGATTTTAAACAGTTTATAATTATGCACATCTATTGACTAAGAAGACTGGAAAGGCTCTGGGACACTTATATACACATAGGAATTATTACCTTTGTATATTTGTAAGAAACATTTGATGTTCTCCGACAGCAATTGGCTATCTTTTGCTTCATAGTCTCCCTGCAAAATAAAGTTAGCTTCATATATTTTGAATAAAATATCAATTATAGATGCACTGACTCATTTGGCTCCACTGGTAAATTAGCATCCCAGGGCTACTTCAGATATTATAGCAAGATTTGAAAGGTGGATGCATAGAGTGTGAGCAACAGAAGGAGTAGATTCAGTCAGCCATTGTTCACTGCAAATCTTATTCCAAACGTAAGAAGAAAAATTGCAAAGGAGAGACATTTAATTACTATTCCTATTTACATGTTAAAGGCTACAATACAAAGCAAGAGGGAAGGAGAGGAGAGAGAGGCAGGTGGTCATGGAAAGGCACTGTAGGAAGGGTTGATTCTGCAGAAGGAGCTGAAGGGAAGCAAGGTGACTGGATGATACAGCAAAGGGGAAATGTTCTTTGGTTACAATAATTAAGCATGTTTTGTGGGAACCAGTCATTTGGCACAAAAGGATGCCTTCAGGATAACTGCACTAAAAGAAGAAATACTTCATAAAAACATATATTAGCACCTAGACATTTGGTGCTACTGTTGTTGCTTGAGTGCTACAACTGCTAAGGCACCAATGTTCACCTGTCTGGACTAACACTGATCACACGTATTTGAGAGCATCTGCTGTGTTGGTCTAAATATAGGGCACTCACAAACCTTGGTGGCCTAGAAGTACTCAACGTCTCATATAGTTAAGTTTGAAACAGTGCAAAGCTGGGCATGAGATAAAGACCAGAAAATCATAATAAAAAAAATAAAACCTATATAGATTCTTCTTCTGTCTTACCTTCTTTCTTTTTTGTAAAGTAACAGGATCACAAGACATGCTGTAAGAACCACAAGGAGCAAACTCAGTAGTGCACCAACTGCTTGGCTTCTTCCTGAAAGGCCTTTGTGAAAATGATCTTCCTCATAGGTTTTGTCATTGGTAATTTCAGCACTTCTGTAAACGACAGAAGAAACCATCTTATTGTATAGATGGAGGTGTAGTCCCTTGTACACTGTTCCATCAGGTCTTATGACCCTCAGGGGTGTACCCCTTTGGGTAGAACCAGTGGGCAGGAAGAACCAGAAAACCCCAGACAACGTGGATGGGGTTCTTTGTGTCCTTCTCAGGCAAACACATCAAATCCAGAAGTAGCAGTGTTTGAAAACTTAACTGATGAGATCCAAAGAATAGGAGTGTGTGTTATCAATTGCACTTACTCATTTGACTCCACTGGTAAATTACTGTCCCAGCACAGTAATTTATCAATACTGTCCCAGAAAATGTGAATAAGTTTGATCACATTTCGTTGGTCCCACCTGCACTGGCTATCAATGTAATATAAGGCCAGATTCGAGGTGTTGGTTATTAACTATAAAGCCCTCCACAGTTTTGGACCCGGCTACTTGTTGAAGGATCTTTCCTTAAAAACATCTGCCCACACCACCTGATCCTGTCAGGCCATGCTCCTCCGGGTTGCCACTCCAAGGTTGGCCAGGAAGTCACCTACCAGAAACAGGGCCTTCTCAGTAGTGGCTCCATCCCTTTGGAATGCAATCTCAATGGAGCTGTGCCTGGGCTCTTCCCTTACAGCTCTGAGGATGCTCAAAACAAAGCTGTTTACCAAATCCTTTGAGACTATCCTCTTTTAATAGCTTGATGATACCTGTTTTCCACAGTTGGCGCTATGTCGCTGCCACAGGGCACATGCACACCAAGGAGCCCGGTAAGAACTGGGCTGGTCCTGGGGGGCAGGGAAGGACTGCTGGGACACCTGTGCTTGCATGCTTCATATTCATTTCCCCCGAGAGACAAATACAGAGCCATGACCTCTTTTGGAGTGTAACAATTCAGATTCATGCTCATTCCACTTAGATTACTGTAACACATTTATATTGGGCTTTCCTTGAAGATGGTTCAGAACTCATAACTGATGTACATACCATCAGTTGCTTAGTTAAGATTTTAAGAGGTATGCTTCCTGGGAACATTTTGCTAAGACTGCACCATTTGCAGTGGGTATTTGTCTAAGCTCTGGTCCAACTCAAGATATTGAGCTTTTGAATCATCATGACTGGGGATCCACATATTTTCAAGACTATCTCCTGGCTACAGAATCTGCCCAAATACTGATATTGTGACAACAAAGAAGTGTATTTTAGTTTTGAATTTTTGTGTTTAAGAAATGTTTCTGATAAGCAGTAAACAAGTGCATTAGGTACATAAATTATTCCACTAGGGCTAGCTTCAAAACTCAAGGTACCTGGCCAAGAAAGATCTGGGCCAAGATGCAATGTGAAAGTTGCTTAATCTACAGTTCATCATCATCATCATCATCATCATCATCATCATCATCATCATCGTAAGGTTTTCTAGGTAAAGAGTATTCAGAAGTGGTCTACCATTCGCTCCTTCTCGGGGTTTCTTGGGATTGTGCAGCTCACCCAAGGCCACAAAGGCAGGCTCTTCTGGAATGCACAGTGGGGAACTGAACTCCTAACCTCTGGCTCCACACCCAGATACCTAAGTCACTGAGGTATCCAGCCAGCTATAGTTCATAAACTAGTGGAATAATCAAGTGCAGTTGATGTTTTCTTAGTTGAACTATCTGCCAATCATGGTACTTCTAAAAATTGGGTTGTCTGCCACCTAAGGATAGATACTGCTATGCAGCCCCCTATGTGTGGTTATTAAATGTTACTGAAAGGGATGTTTCCAATGTAACCTTCAGTGATGAAATCCTCTCTCTCTTGGTAAGACGCAAGAACTGACAAGCCTTGCTTTCAGAAGGATCACTTACACCAGTGGACAGACTGCTGACGTATACCAGGTGAATAAGTACTGGCAATCTGACGATTCATGAAGGAATGCAGGGATGCCTTCCTTAGCCTCCTGATTACAGTGGAAGAAAATAGTTGAGGACGCAAATTTTGTTTTGTCCCTGCCACATCTGGAGTCAGAGGAGAACACAACATCCAAATCATCATCTAGGGTAGGAAAAAGAAAATATTAAAATATTCCGTAAGAAATAGCAACATCATTACAACTCACCTATTAATATTCTATACTAGTATTAATATTCTATACTAGTGTTTCACAACCTGGGGGTTTCAAAATATTTTCAGGATGAGGGGTGACAGGTCACTCTATATGTGCTGCAGCCCTTGTTAAATAATTTCTTCCTTGACCTTAAAGAATGGGATATTAAAGTTAGTAAGATGTGTATATATGAGAAACAGGCCCTTTGGGGGAGAAAGAAGCCTCTAATTTTTGAGAAGGGATGACTTTACCCCTTTAAAATGCCATTTTATGCAAACTGTGTGGGTGGGTCCAGCAGAGGTTACTTGGCAACAAAGTAAAGTGGGGCTCATGACTCAAAAAAGATTGTGAACCACTGTTCTAGACCTATAAAGGGAGTAGGCAATATCGTATCTTCACACCCATTTGGATTAAACCAAATATTAGTGGGTGGACTCGTAGTGTTCTGGATGTTGAGCAAGCTTCTTCAACATATGTCCTGCCTAGAACATACCTCTGTAATAGCAGATAAGAAGAGAATTAACTGTTTCAAGAAAACAGAAAGGACCCACAAATACCTTGCATTTCATAGGAAATGAAATATGACACCTTTGGTTTTTGTGCACCCAAAGTGTCATATGCAATTTTGGAACATAAATTTCTCACATGCACTCAAAAGAAATGCATTGTTAATACTTGTTTACACCTAAATTATGCAATATGTAGATAAGACATGGAAAGTCAGTTGCTAAGTCATAATGCTGATGGACATCCTGTAACATTATTGCCATATGTGTTTCTACAAAAATGCATTTACTGAATTCCACTCGTGCTTAGAAAGTAATTCTACTAAGAGGTCACTTGGGAAAAGGCCAGTCTTTCTTCTTGCCATTTGTGTGATGACTGTGGAGAGAAAGGAAGGTACTAGATCTGTAAGTGACCAATCAATTCATTTTGTGTTCTTCATTTATCTGTAATTCCCATTTTACCTGCCCCAGCCAATGTGAAAAGCAACAGTGTACACATGCATTGTTTGCATACTTTCCTAATCCTACAGTTGCCCTGTTTAGTAGGGCAAAAGGGAAATGTAGTAAAGACAGAAGTATATGCCATTTACTCTTTGTCATGTTCTCTGCTTCCTCACCTTTGCTTGTCCCAGCTTGGAAAAGGGAATAGAAGTGGAGCAATGGAGGTGCACAAGAAAGGAAAAGTGACTTGTTTGTATGTTCCTCTATCTCAAACACCTACAAGGTTGCCTTTGAGCTCAGAATTGGACAGCAAAGGAAGACTGGAAGTCCCTTCCATAAAATGGGCTTCTCCATCCTTACCTTTTCATCAAAAAAGGTCCAAGAACCAAGGGGAAAAAGAGTGAAAATAGGATGAAAGAGGGAATTTGTGCATTCTTCTGTCTCTTCTTGTTAAGAAGTCAAGACAGTACCAGAAATATTTTGGTAATAGGCTGGATGCTGAGCTTGTGGGGAGGTAGATAGTAGATAACTTTTTGAAAGAGGTGCTGTTTCGTGTTAGATCACAATTTGCTAAATCTCACTGGAAATTTTGACAATTGTTTTCCATTGCTGCACACAAGAGTTGCAAGCCCCTTGGCAACCAAGAAGGCGGCACTTCAGAAAACAGCAAATGACAAAAACCAACCAAACAAAAAACAAAACACAACTCTCGATATTGAGGTTAACGGCCATGTTTGTTAGAATAATATAGTAGAATACATTGTTACTCACCTTGAATATAATATTTAGCTTTGTTAGAAGATCCTATTCTCCGGAAACCAGGTCCTGATGTTTTAACTTGGCATATATTGGCTCCCATGCACTCCTGGTGGTTGGAATGAGTGATAGCAGAAAGTTGAATCTCATAAATGTAGGTATCGCCATTTGCTCTAATATCACCAGAAGCATTGTATAATCTGAAACAGAGAAGGTTTACGTTGAGACATACGCTAAATAAATCTAACCACAATTTTAATAACAAGAAGAAAAGTTCAGGATTATCTAGGAATTATAAATATTCTATTTCTGTGTTACGTACTCACAATTTCAAATCCAGCTCCATCAAACAGATGGGCTGCCATGACCTGACTGTAATTAATCCATGATATCCGCCATCCTTTTATGTTGCTCTGCCTGCACAATAGAAGTGGTGTCACTGGCTGTGGAAAATTGCTGCTAATTAAATTTTGGGGTATGCAGTGGTGCCTTGCTTGACAATGACCTCGTTAGACGAGGAAATTGCTTTACGATTAGTTTTTTGCGATCGCTATTGCGATCGCTAAACAATGACTGAATGGGCTTTTTTCACTTAATGTTGATCGATTCCCTGCTTCGGGAACTGATTTTTCATTTAACGACGATCAAAAACAGCTAACCGTTGGGTTTCAAAATGGCCACCCGCTGTGCAAAATGGCTCCCTGCTGTGTTTAGGATGGATTCCTCGCATTACAGGCACCGGAAAATGGCCGCCCTATGGAGGATCTTCGCTGGACGCTGAGGTATTTTGCTCATTGGAACGCACTGAACCGGTTTTCAATGCATTTCAACGGGCTTTTTCATTTTGCTTGATGAGGATTTCGCTTAACAGTGATTTGAATGGAACGAATTATCTTCGTCAAGCGAGGCACCACTGTATTTGATTTCATATCATTGTGTGTGAGTTGCATGCATCCCAAAACAAAAATAATGGAACTGGTGACATCACTCCTGCTGCCCAAGGCTAGCTATGCAACATATTAGCCTGCATTTCTAAATACTGTATTTCCCATATGTTCAAGTATATTAGACTATTTTGTTCTGCCACTTGTTGCTACAATCATCTTTACTATGATTTGCAAAACCTCACTAAATCTCCCATTCATCTATCTACTGCAGTTTTTGCAGACTGGAGGGCCAAGTCAGAATTTCCTAGCCCCCACCTTCTTCAATTAATTTGTGTATATCTGTGTATTATGAAATTCAGATGGGTATATTTTCCAGGATTATCTTTTGAGTTTTAGACAACATGATCAGGTGACCTAATGAATCAATAAATACTGTTAAAATAAAAAATATTCATCATGTCTCATTTCCTTTGTTGCAAGTACTCTTCTAGGGGAAAAACAAAGGATTCAGCACATTTAAAACACATTTTAAGTCACAGCATGAAGCTTTTATCACATATACAAAGTGATCTTATGTGTGCAGAACCAGGACTAACTTGTGCTACAGATTTCAATAGAACTAATCCGTTCATAACTGCTATTTTTTAAAGAAAAATCCAACATGTTGAAATTATCTATCCTATAATCTGCCTAAAATGCAACTTGCTAATCAAAATTGCAAGCACTTCAGTCCGTTTTAAGCAGCAAATCTGTGAAACTGTAGCAACTTACAAGCTCTATACACAACACAAAAATGAGTAAATTCATTTATGAGAGTGCCTACAAGGCACACTAACCAGCATTTCTGCCATCCTATTTTCCACCTTAACTCTAATCTGAAGGAAATGCGAGTTCAAGACTCAGGATTTACTGTGCCACTGAAAAATCTTAGTTCTGATTAATTACATTTGTCACTTGAAACTTCAAAGAGATGGGCAGTAGGAAATAGATGTTCTACTATTTTTGTTAACTTCTTCAGAAAATTCAACAGTCTCTTAACCCTGTTTTATAACGAAACTGTCATGAGACTTTCCTTTTCAGATGGTTCAATTATATGTTGAGAGACATTATTCACCTGTAGTAAATGTCACCCAAACTGAAATTTTTCCCTGTCACTGGATTTATAATTGTGCCATTCTTTATGTTTACTTCTTGTGGTTTCACAGCACAAGCAGCCCGAGTTTCCCATGTGATGTAATAGGCACAATTTTCTTCATCGATCCTGAGGAGAAAAGCAAGATAGAAATATTTTGAATAAATTAATAATAAATAATACAAAATATTTGAGAAGTGAGCTACAAATGTATCAGCAGTAAGTATAAGTGGCACAGTACCACAGGAGGGGCTAATGACTTAGAAAGCAACAGAAAACCTGTTTTTATCATCACCTCTATGGTATATGCATGAAAAAACATGCAGCTGGGCGATGTGTTTCTTAATTCTTATCACAGCATGTTTCAGTTAATGCTCAGCTTCCATTAATTAGTTTTTACAATTGTCAGAGGCATAGTTTTATAACCCAGAAGGCAGAGTGACATGGACTGGACCCACAAGAGAAAAACCCACCCATCTAAAGGTGCAAGGCTTTCAGAGGGAGAAGCCTTTTCAAAGGACTTCCACAGACTGGAATTGGGACCCAACAGGCTCCATTAGGCCTGAAGCCTGGGAGTTCCCCTCTGTTACTCTAAATCCCAATGACTAATTGGGGTAAATCTCAGTCTGCAGAGGCTTTGCTACTTATAAAGGCCTGAGAAACTAGGAGGGATTTACATAGAATCAGCCTTGTTTACTGTTCTCTATTAAAGGATTTCTTCCCCCCCCACCACCACTTTGATCCATACCAAACTGAAACGTGTCTAACACTGTGCTGTTTGAACAACAGAAAGTAAGACACAGTTTAAAGACCAGCCAATTTAGTGATAATCCAATCTGTTTGAAGCAGTGATTTGAAGCAAATCAACAAATACATATGTTGTGAGACACACAGTAAATGTGATACAGCTTCCCACTTCATCACACAATAAAAATCCTAATTCAGTGTATATTTATCATATTAGTATTACGCTGTTTTCCTTGTATTATTTTAAAGTGAACATCACTGCTGAGGCTGTTGGTCACCCTGTAGATATTATAACCATAGGTTGCATTCAAGGCAAGTTTTACACTATAAAGGATTCCCTGATCCTTATATGATGGAAGAAAATTGACAATCTTGCCTTCCCTGAAAAAGAAATATTGCAAATATTTCCAATATACTCTATTCATAAGGTTGTATTGCTTTGTATTGTATTGTTTACTTGTGTGCTAGTTGTTTTAATTTATTGGATTATTGTGTTTATATGTAGGATGCTAACCGCACTGTTGCATGGTATATAAGTTAAATAAATATATAATACGTAAGAAGGCTTTTGAGGGATATGTTGGAGGTTAAAGAAGGAAGAATCTGTTCCACCAATGGGAATAGATGCAATCTTCTACCTTACCTATCAAATCTTGGCATGCCAACTGTTTTTCCACATTTCAGTTCTATAACAGTTGTTGCTTTCTTGTTCTTCTTTTGACACTCATGACCATTTGAGTAACTGATGAGAACTTTGTCATCTGGAACAAAGCATCAAATTCTTCTAAACTGATAACAAAAGACTTCCAAATCAAATTTTTGACAGTGTCAGGAAGCGTAACAAACAATGGCTGGAAATGAACCAACATTTTAGATCTTGCTGGATACCACCACTACTAATTTTCTCATCAGTAGCCATCCCTTTGACCTACAATTAGAAACCAATCAAAACACAAGACTTTATACTTGGCCACATGGATACAGTCACTGAGTTAATTAATTTAGTTTCTGAAGATTAACAGTAATCCTTTCATAACCAGCTTCATAACCAGTATTTGACATTTTGGGTGAAAAAGAGAATTATCATAGAATTAATGTCACTTCTGCTGAGGCCTTGATATTAAAAAATGGGGAGAATCCATGTCCAGTGATATCCACCCAGTAGAATGCTATCCAGTTAAAGCAGAATTGGGTTGCAACTATAGATATGATATACTGAAGATATTAATTTCCTATACTGTACTTAGTTAAAAGCCTAATTCAGGACAAAACAGAATGACAAAGTATAAGGTAGCTTTCAGATGCATATAGAAATAATGGTTCAGCAAGCTTCATAAAACACGTATTGCTTTTTACACAAAAGATTCACTACACCTGACTACTACAGACTATTCTCTGCCTTCTTTCTTTTCCCAGGGGAAGGGTTAAAAAGACATACTATACCTGTCACATTCAGTTTCTGTGTATGCACTAATCCCAGAACCTGTACAGCCCCATTTTGATTTTTTCGGCAAACACTTGCCCGTTCAGGACAACCAGTAGGTCCTTCATGGACTCTTTGACAAAGATTCATGTAGTACCTAGAAATCAGAGGAAGAAAAAAGACAGCTCGGCACTGCATCAGGAAGAGGCCCCAAATACATTAATTTAAAGCATCCATCCCCTGCTTTTCAGCAAAGAAAGACTTCAGGGGCTCCAAGCACTCTAGGTTAACAAGGCTAAAAGCCTGTAAGTAGCAAACCCTGCAACCTGGGCAAATTATAAAGACCAAGTAAACAGGCATAACTCCTATAAAGTTGCACAATTTATTGTGTTTTGCTTTTCATACAGAAGGGCAAAGAGGGACTGATACACTATCATCCTTAAGCCTGGAAATTTTATTCAGTATCCTCTCTGGACTGGGGATTTCAGCAGACATTGCCTACACACTCTGAAATACACCTTCATAGCCAAAGGGGCTACTGTGGTTTATTTGCTTTTCAAATAAGGGCAGAGATTTAGAAGAAGCAGAATTGTGCCCATCTACCATATTTTGTGTTTGCATGGAATCCAGCATGTGTAGACATAAACACAAGTGCATGTGCACACAAACACACCTCACTTGGTATAATAGATATGATCTCCAAACAATTGTTGCTCTGTGTTCTTTAGTAAGTTTCCAGCACCATGCTATAAATGCCAAATCTGTACTGTGCTCATATCTGTTACTACAGTCCAACCTTTATTTTATGGGATGATGCAAGCCTCCCAACAAGAATGCTATAGATCAAAGTCAAAATGCTGCTACTCCAGAACACTCAATATCCTACACTCTGGTATTGTTTGCTTCCAGCCCACTAAGCCAAGAAGTATAATATTACCAAGTCGTTTTCATTATTCTAACAAAAAGGACAACACAAATAGTAACAAAAACCAAAATGTTATATTTCCTTAAGTAACAGGATGTAGGCAGGAATGCAATTTGAAATGAATAATCTAACTAAAATATATATCTTGCCTACTTGCATATGAAATACTTTTGTATGAAAAACTTTATTATTATTTTTCACTAGTCATATATCGAAACTCCTAATGCAAGTTATGGTCTAATGTAAGTTAGAATGCAGAAGCAGCTACACAGTTTTGCATTTAGTAAATGTAACTGCATACCACCAAAATCTGTATCATTCTGACAGTGGGCCTTTGGAAATTTTGATACAAATTACATTTATTTTTGCATAGATTAATTAATATAGTGATAAATTATTGTGCACACTTTTTTGTCATAAAATGGGCTTAAATCCAGCACCAGTGTTGCATCCACCTCACTGTCTGGGCCATCTACATGATGACTACTTATGACAGACACCTCTGCTGTCATTAATTGAGGAAGACACAGAATAAAAATATTTGCGAGAAAAAGCTTTTCTTAGAAATGGGACATCTGCCCATTCTTTCCTTAAACATTTGGAGAATCCCCAATAACCTGGCAAAGAAAGTTCTTCTAATGCTAAGTAACAACTACAATAGAACCACTGAATCAACTGAATGTACAAAGGAATGGACTCAGCTAAACTCCATGGATTCAATAGCCCTACTCTAATTGAAATGTACTACATTTTCCAGATCAAAGCATCTTGCCCTTTCTACCATCCGACTTATCCACAATAAATCATCTGAACCTCTGTTGTCTCTCACAGAATATACTTTTCGGTCCTTCTATAAACTCTCATTGTTTTCCTCTGACTTCTTTCCTGCCTGGCAACTTCTTGAATCACACTAAGGTATTCCAATAATAAAGGGCCATGGCAAAGAGCAAGCTGAGAGATAGTAGCATTTTTATCAACAGGTAATCCCTTTTAAAAGTAGTAGCCCTTCTCTATGTCATCTTGATATGTGTACTACATTGTATTAAGAACACAAAGAGGATTAAAGTAAACATCTAGTTAAATGACTTCTCAACCAGGATTAAAACAAACTCACGAGCTGTCCTTGTCAGCAAAGACCCATGATCCTGTGAGGGATGACAGCACTCTCAAATCATAGGTTTTGTGCTTCTGAATAAACTTGCATTCCATTTTTCTCGGTGGACACACAACTTGTGTTTTCCATTCAAATGTCACAGAACAGCCAAGGGTCTCACTCAAGAGCTGAGGGCTCCCATCACCAGCATTTTCATCACACTTGAAAATAATAGTAGATTCCCGGTGCCCAGATACTGTAAGAAATACGGATGTATATCTGTCATCACAACAAAATGAAATAACATGGCTAGCTTTTGTAGTCTTATTGGGACAATGAAGAACTTTAGATATTTCTGTATATCCACCCAACATTGAATTTTCTCAGTAAAAACATTCACTATTACATTCTAACATTAAATGGAGGTTTTGTGTTCTTGTCACAGTGATTTCAGAAAGGATGGTGTAATCTAGAATCTACCTACGATTAGACTTCTGCACGCAGGACGCTGCCTGAGTGGAGGTTTTTCAATGGATACTGCTTTGAATGTGTTTTGGTGTAATTATGTTCTTTAGTATGACATGTTCGATCTTTTTTAGTATTTGGATAATCACTGTTGTTAACTCTAATATTGATGTAAGCTGCCTTGGGTCCTTTTAAGGAAAAAGGCAGGGTAAAAATATTTTAAATTTAAGTAATAAAAAAGGATCCTGTTCACGTGCTTCAGTCCCCGGAGATGGGACAGGAACAGTCATGGTTGTGACAGCAGTTGTTCTTTGCCAGAGGAAAATGGAGGAGCAGGGGGGCAGGCAAGTGGTCATGGGGGGCTGGTTCAGCATCATCACACCACTCTCACTCCCAGTCTCTGCAAAGTCTTGTGTGTGGTGGTGCCTTCTTCCAAAACTGGTGGAGGGGAAGGAGGAGATTTTCTGTGGATCCTCAGGGCTGAGGGGAGGCAATGACAGTCAGATGGTCCTCTGCAGCATCTGGGGCTGACCTGAAGAGCCCTGGTAGCAAAGACACCACCCTCCCTTCTCCTCCACCTCCTGTTCCATCTCTTCATTCCCTCCCCAGCAGTGGCAAATGGCAGTTTCTCACTAGTCCCACAATATATGTGTGTGTGTGTGTGTGTGCGCGCGCGCAGAGGGCACTGTGGAGCCGCTTCGGCCCCCTCCAGGCCACTATTAGGCAGGCTCCAGACCAAGCAGGTGGGTGGAGATGGAAATGTACCAGCTGCAACCCAAAACTGCCCTCATAGCCCACCAGACTGGGAAGGACAGTCACTGCAAAATCAGTGCTGCCAGGAACAAAACTTTTTTCTTTCTTTTTTTTAAAAAATCTTATCTCGTCCTGTTTCCCCCTCCATGGGGCAGTTCTACCCAGTTACTGACTTGCTCTGACACTACTCATGATCGTCTAGAGCAGTAGTCTAGAGCAGTGGCTCCCCAGGTGTTCTTGGACTAAAACTCTCAGAGGTCTTCACCATTAGTTGTGCCGGCCAAGATTTTTGGGAATTACAATCCAAGACCACTGGGGACTCAAAGTTGAAAATCACTGGGCTAAACTGAAAATCTATCAGGATAGCAATATATTTTTGCACCCTTGCTTACCATTTCCACAGAAGCCCCATTTGTTGTCCTTATCCATATTTTCAGTAGTGGCACACCACGGCCGCTCATGTTGCGCCATAATGCATTCACTGTAACTTTGGCCCTTGTATTGAAAAGGGAAGACACAAAGCTCACCCATCTCAGTCACTGTAGATAAAAGGGAAAACCAGTAAGAGGCACTGTGGGCTGCTCTCATGAAAAAGAAATAACCAAAAATAAATAAAACTTTTGTGAGCAGGTTATTGTCCTACATATTCATGTTAGGAAATAGGTGACTCCTGATTTCAGAAAACTGAAGCATCTGCAACAACCAGTTATGTTGCTACAGGCTGCCCTCCCAAGGCCTTCCACGTCACAGCAAAAGGGGCCAATGGCATCAGTGAGCACCCTCCCCTCACAGAAGGCCTTATACTGCTCATCAGAAAGATGACGGGTTGGCTAAGAGAAAAATCAGACATGCATAACCTTGTTAACCCCCGGACTCTCACGTGCAAGCCTGCAACATGCACCTTGTTAACCTTTCAAGTGTCATCTGTAAGGTGAAGATTTGCAGACATTCAGCATTATGAAAATTTGCCCCAATGGAAATTTATTCCTCTTCTGTTACCCCCATCAAAAATATGCCACTACAGACAAGAGGTATTACAAGCACCTTCTGGAAGGGTAAACAGCTTTGTGCTCTCTGTGGAAGTTCAGTTTCAACTTCTGAATAAATATATATATGTTTCCATCTAGTCATCAAGCTGAGAGGCTACTTCCTCAGAGAGATGACTGGGAAGATAAATAAGCTAAGGAAATCATGGAACTTGTCTTAGGACCAGATCAAGTGTAAGTCTAAATAAGCAGTGGTGCAGCTGTAGATAATGAGGGCATGACTTTTGATACTTTAGTAGCAACTTTAGGAAGCCTTACCTGGTGGGCAGACATCACCATCTTTGTACTGTACAATGACAGCTTCATCTTGGTGCCGATAGTCCATTTTCATTTGTTTTATGTTGCCAAAAGAGACTGCTTTGTTGCCAAAGACAAAGCAAACTGCTGCATCTCTACACTTTCCTTGAGGAACATCTAATGCACCAGAGCACACTCCTACATGATAACTCCTGTGCCCTGAAGGGACCTAAATGGCAGAAAATGTCACAATAAATTATGAGAAATGGCAAAATTTCTCCATATATATTGAAGCTCAGTAGATTGAGAGCAGAACGCTAACAGAATATCCCTGCCATCTTGCTTTACAGAGCTGCTTGCAAAGAAATGGCACAATGAAAAGTATCTTAGGTGATATATTTACTTTGATTACTATTTTATTTATTTATTTAAAATATTTTTATCCCACCTTTCTCCCCGAAAAAGACCCAAGGCAGCTTACAATATTGAAAGACAACATTTAGAGTTTAAAACAATGAGTAAAAAAACCACAGTATTTAAAGCTAGAAGAATGTATAAAAAAGTCATCTTACATCTTTAAAAGACAATATTAAAGCTAGGAACGATATGTATACAAATATTAAAGAGGGAAAAAAGTCACTCTGAGAAAAGAAAGACCCCAAAAAGGAAAAAACCAAGAACAATCCCTCTAAAAATCATACACAGGCAGCTAGTTACTGAGGGAAGGCTTGCCTTCTTCAGGAAGGACAGCAAAGATGGGGCCAGTCTGGCCTCCAGTGGGAGGGTGTTCCAAAGTCTGGGAGCAGCAACAGAGAAGGCCTTCTCTTATGTTCCCATCAGGCACACCTGTGAGGGTGGTGGGACCAAAAGAAAGGTGTCTATCTTAACACCTGAGCTGGCTCATAATGGGGCCACATTCTTTGAGAGCTTGGACCCAGGCCATATAGGGCTTTATAGGTTAAAACAAGCACACTGAATTGTGCCCAGAAATGGATTGGCAGCTAGTGGAGGTGCTATAACGCGCGCGTGTGTCTGTGTGTTTGTTTACTGTAAACAGCCCCACTCAGTAACAGGAAATGGTCCAATCTTGAGATTTCCCTCCTATAAAGATTAAGCCATACTGGAGGACCACCTTGTCAAGTATCCCAAAAAGGATCTCTAGATCTAATCACCTCCAAATATTCCTATATTTAGAAAGCTTTCATTATTAAACAGGTGAAGCTAGTCACGTAAAGTGATGGAAACTTGCTGGGCCAGCCAGCATCCATTGCAACTGGAAACTGCCATAGTTGCTGCGCAACACCGCCAGAATTCAAGTGAAGGCAGGGAAGTTTGAAGTCAACAGCTGCAGGATGCAAAGTGTGTACTCTATTACGAAGCAATGGCAATGTAATATTGCAATCTCCTTCTTTTCCATGACAGACCAAAAAAAAAAAGATCATATAGCCCAAAATAATATCTCACCATATAAGGTTTTCCAGAAAAGCTTGACAGATTGAAAGAGTAGTGTAACTGTTCATCAGTCACTGAACAGCCCAAAACATCCACTTTATCAGGGCATACAACTGGAGTGCTCCATTCAAATATATATTCACAGGCAGACTTTCCTATCATTTTGGGCTTGCCCTGTTAATCAAAACACAAACGAAAATAAAATGGTTCAGGTCTCAGAATTAGATAAAAAAGTCAGAAGACTAAATCCTGTCATGAATTATTATTGTGTTTAGAAATTAAACATATGCTTAAGTCCAATAATACCATCATGCTAACTCTGTTATAATGTAATTTTTCACTTTTTTTGCTTTGATTGTTTTATAAAGGTAAAGGTAAAGGTTCCCCTTGACAATTTTTGTCCAGTCGTGTCCGACTCTAGGGGGCGGCGCTCATCCCACTGTTCAAGCCATAGAGCCAGCATTTGTCCGAAGACAATCTTTCCGTGGTCACATGGCCAGTGTGATTTAGACACGGAACGCTGTTTACCTTCCCACCAAGATGGTACCTATTTATCTACTCGCATTTGCATGCTTTCGAACCGCTAGGTTGGCGGGAGCTGGGACAAGCGACGGGCGCTCACTCCATCCCGTGGATTCGATCTTACGACTGCTTGGTCTTCTGACCCTGCAGCACAGGCTTCTGCGGTTTAGCCCACAGCGCCACCACGTCCCTTTTATACTTGCTTAAAAAAAGCAAACACACAAAAATTGGAATCCACAAAAACTAGAGCAAGCAAAATACAAATACGCAGGAAACACCAATGTCTTTAATATTTTTCTCCTTATCAAAAATATGAGTCCTATTAAAAACAAGGTATGCGTGTATGCAAACAATATGTAAACAAGTGTATATACAATTCTCTTTGATAACAAGCAATTCATATGCCTATAGTTGTGATTTGTTTTTAATAAGTCTTCTTTTATTTCTTGTCTTCATGGTTTATGTCTCTGGAAAGAGGAGAAATTAATACATTAAAGACTTCTGTGTTTCTTCTGCATCTGTACCTTGTTTTCTCTAGTTTTTGTGGATTCCAATTTTTCTGTTATTTTGCTTATGTTTTGGTTGGGACTTAGACCGTGTCTCCACCGCCAAACAGTCCGGAAAACCCACAACAACCATGGTATGTTTTTATTTATTATATTCAATCTTACTGGAGTAAAATACTGTGTTTGTTTCTCTATTAGCTAAACTTTCCACTTCCCTTCTTCACTTGTAGAAATATATTTTCTCAGAAAGGACCCACTGATGTATCTTGCATAGCTAACAATATGCTAACATCTTTATACTATACAATATTTTTTCATTCAGCCCCAGAATTAAACTGCAATTTCAGCAAGGTTCCCTCTAAGCTGGGTGCATGTGTGGCTCTGCCTCCCTGCGTGCAGCTGTGTTCGTCCATGCAGCAATTACGTTAGGTTCCCAGTCGTGACAGAACCCAACGCACAGGGAACTGAAGTCACGTGCGTACACAGTGATGAAGTTGAGCACGAGAGGTGGGAAAATTAATGGGTACGTTGATTCCCAGAATTCTACACCTAGCACAGGTGGGTGGGAGGTTTCTGTAAACTGTAGTTCAATACATCTGGATGGTTCCAGATGAGACTGGAGAGAGACTAGAACTGGAGATGCCCTGATGTAGGTCCACAGTTACAGCATCTGAGCAGCAGGGGAGCTGAAGAAATGGGGCATCTCCCCATATACTGCTGCAGCTCAAGAAGTTTAAGAACCCATGGAAAGAGGAGCAATGCTACTTCCTCTACCATTACTTGCCCCCTTCAAGCATCTCCTGCTCCCTGTTATTTGTAAAACAATACCATTACCAAATGCTTTGGTTTCCCCTTTTTACAAAAACAGCAGAAGTTTCTCTTTTGTACTGGTTCTGTTTGGAAGATAATTTGAAATTATATTTCAATCTGGCTGCAGTGTTTTAAATATGGTCTAGAAAGGCACAGAGTTGCATTCACAAGTAATCCAGAGCCTTTTGTTTTAAACAGTCTGTTAAATCTATTTTTTGAGTGGTGAGAAGAAAAGCATCAGCTACAGTGAATGTTATTGCTGCCCTCCTCTCAAGGATGAACAGGAATTAGATGGACAAATATTGGATATTTCTACAGTTCTACCAAGAAATCACTATTCTGGAATGTTGCCTTTTGTTCCCAATTCTTCTTCCAAAACAAAACATCTTCCCTTCCCCATAATCACTACAGATTAAAGATAATTCTTACCAGATTTGTTCCTCTGTTGCAATGAAACACAATGCGAGAAGAATAGTTAAGGTTTTTGTCTTCTGGACAAGGAGTGTTACTGTTGAAAGTGATATAAACTTCATTTGTTGCAGTATTCAGCTTGGGAGGTCCAGTAATGCGACCAATGTCCTAGATTTTAAAATATATATGTGCATATATATATATAAATATGACTTAACTTTGTTATGATATTTTAGCATGTTCTCTGCTCTGATTTTTCAACAAGCAAGTGCCTGTGGCATCTTCAAAAACTAAGACACGTAGGCAGGCCTTCAGGAACTGAGCTTTTCACAAGCAGGAATTGCACTCTGAAAGTACATTTTGGTTCATATGTTTCAACTTTATAGTTTGTTAAATTCCTCTTTGTGCAGTCACTTTAACATAAGGAAAGTGATGGTGAAAGGAATTGGAATCTGTGTGTCTTTTCACTGTGTGAAGTAAACACACTTTAATAATGACAGACCAAATCTGTCTTTACCAGATTTTGGACAAACACAACTTCTAAATTCTGTTGTACTGCTTATAGGCTGGGACTTCAGTAACTGCCAGTTGATGAGTACCCAAGAAACTGAACATTTAAATTTTAGAAAATCCTTCTATTTTCTACCCCTTCTCTGGCAAACCCTAATACGAGCCGTCCTGAAACCTGCCCTGTCCATTTTGGAACAGGGTTTTGTCATGAGGCCAGTGGAACAGCTTCCACTCAAGAAACAAATATCCAAAGACTCCTTGAGTACAGAAAAACAAGTATGCAGTTATTTCGATACAGAACCAGGTTTCCTGGGGGCAGCTTCTTGCCACTACCCCACAATGACACAGGGAAGAAAAAATGTGCAAAGTCATTCCTCTTCACTGAGCTTGTGAAATTACATCCGATTACAAACAAACAAACAAAAAAGTCACTAAGTGGACCCAGTGACCAGAGAGAGATGCTTCTGAGAATTAATCAAAATGATTCAATGTGCACTGCAACAACAGCACATGGCTTTTTGATAAAAATGGCTCTCAGACAGAACCTGAAATACTTACTATAGGAGAGCCAGTAACTGGGACCATACAGACAGCTGCTCCTGGTGGACAGTTGACATCTCTGATGGCATTCAGAGGTTGGCAAATGTTTATATAGAAGTCTGGAGTAAGGTCAGATAGGTCAGACGAGTCAAAGGCTTCATAAGAGCCCGTTTGATGGATCAGAGGGGAAAGGTCAATGATTGTACTGCCATTCATCACTGAGCATTCCACCTGTTTTAGGGGGAGCAAGGAATAAGATTACCAAATCAGCTCTTACAGTGATATTGTTCAAGGAGTCAGCCCACAAAAAACTGATTCTCTTCTTCACATTTCTCTTCTAAAACGCCAGTGCTTCACTTTCCTTTCATCCCAGCATGGATTTTCCTGTCTCTGTTCCCATCGCCTTCTACACGTTGAGGCTGCTTGGTTTCCATTTTATTGCAAAGATAGGTAGCATGAAGAGCTCTGATTAGCCCATTCCTCATTAACATTTCAGTTCATGGGATCTGCCACAGCTATGACAATACGGCTAGTTTCAGATGGCTATGACGTATTTTCCAATGCACAATGATACAGTACATTACTTCTGGGGTAAATCTGACTTCACTTACCATTCTGACTATTCTACCAAGAACAGGTACTCCAAAAGACACGAGGCCCTGCATCAACCTAATGCTAGCTGAGATGAAGAAATTGTGCTCTAGGACATTATCATTACTTTACCCTCTTTTAGGCGGGTACTCCAAAAGACATGAGGCCCTGCATCAACCTAATGCTAGCTAAGATGAAGAAATTGTGCTCTAGGACAACATTATCATTACTTTACCCTCTTTTAGGCAAATTTGCTCTGTTCCTTTCTCTAAATGGAGCACTGTACAGTATCTAATCATGATTCATTTGACCAAGAACTTCCATACACTTCCAGAACACCTCCTTATTGGCTTCTGTTCCTTTAAACCTGGCAGACCCTGGGAAGTTCTTGTTTGAACGTAATTTGTTCCCATTATTTATTATAGTATTTGGGAAGTAATTCATCATTGCTCATTAAAATACCAAAAAAGTAATACATTATGTCTCTTATTCCAGGTCTCATTCATCGCTCTTTAGTTATAATCTGTTACAAAAACACCAGCCTAATAGAGTGGCATAAAACATGAAAAATCTGCCTCTCAAAATGTCATAAAAGATTATTTTAAAAGTAACTGGTGTAACTAACTATAATTGGAAAACTTTATTTAGGTCAATATAGCAACTTCTTTTCTACAATATTTTTGAAATGTCACTTCATTTGCATCCTATAACCTCTTTACTCCATAAAGTTACTAGTTACAGGCAAACAGGTTATTTACAATGTGTAATTTCCAGACTGAATCCCAGGCAGCAGGTCTACGGTACACCGAGGGTACCAGCAAAAAAAATGGCAATATTTCAGAGAAATTTCTATCCTTTTTTGGCAACAAAGTTTACATTGTTCCTGTTTTCTTGTTGATCAATGGAACACCTTTGTCTCTTCTACAAAAATGAAAGTACAAAGTATTATAAATCTAATATTATGAATCTCCGAGTTCTTTACTCTCATGACTACTCTAAATGGCAGATGTTAACATGCACTTTTCCCAACTAGCAATGGCATTTGCAGGCAGTGTTTTCACTACAGTGCCCATAACAGTAGCTTGGCGAAATGGTGTATTCTCTTACCCCACTATCTTCTTCACAGGCTAGGACAGTGTGCCAAGACAAATAATAAGCACATGTTGCCTCATCAAAGGACACAAGAACAGGCTGGCTACCAGGTCCAGCATCAGATCTGCACACAAAGCTGAAATAACTTGTATACGTCAAGTCTGGGTGTGAAGGGCAAGGTTCTCCTCCTTTGTAGGCAAATTTCAGAACTCCGTCCTCATAGGTCAATGTTTTGTTCACTCTTCCAGCATTAACGGGTGGGTGATGACCATCAATGATGCAGACACCTGTCAACAAGTTAATGAACACAAAGCTGTTGATTTATTATGGAAGAACCAACTTTAGATTAAGAAAGAGAAATCCAGTTTTAGTTCTTGCACAACTCATTGTGTTAGTTACAGAAATCAGTAGAGATCAAGACTTTATTTGAAGGCTTTAGTTAAAAGAAATATTATCAACAAAGTAGCATGGAGAAGTGTTCTTGCTCGTAAGAGCCCCAAATTCAAATTTTCAATGGGTCTGCACAATAGCCTTGGCATTATCACTTATCCCTCAGCCCCAGTTCTACGAAATAGAGAGAACAGTGATCTACTATTTAAGCTGAATGGGAAGAATACAAGAATACAGCGCTACCTTGCTTTTTACCAGATTCATTATACCCTCATGAGATCTTGACTCCTGTGCATGTTCTTTCCTGTATTGCCTCACCTGATGCACTGCCACTGATCACACTGGCCATTCAAGTATGTATGTAGTCTTAAAAACATGTTTCCAATATTTTCTACAATGTGTTGACTCACAGATAAAATCTAGATTTTGCATGCACATTTTTTAAAGAATGTTATATCCACATATTGGTGGAAGGCTGTAACAAAAGTGAAAACAATGCCATTTGAAGAGTGGAAGGGAGCTATGCTATCACTCTCCACTACAATAAAGAGAGCAGGTCTGTGTAAAAAAACCAACAACCCATCATTCAATCTATTTCACTGACTATTAATTAGTATAACTCAAGATCAGATCAGACTGGGATTAATTGCAAACAGTTTCTGTAAACTCCCTCTCCCCATAGAAGTTCTATTCTATATGCAATCATCACCACAAACTGAACAACTGCTGGTTTGATAAACATACCAACTCCACTACCACACGGACTTCTAGCTTCATCACAAACACTCAGTTGCAACGTTCTGTGGTTCCTAAAGTCAGAGACAGTGTAACCATCTTGCCTCTTTAGAGGATTAAGATCAAAGAGATGGCCTGTAAGAAAATAAAAGGTAGAGAGAATTTAAATTTTCTGCAAAGAAAAGCTGTGCAGAATCAAATGATTGTTAATTAAAAAAACAAAAGGACATTCAGGAAACATCACACAACAGACACACATTAAGGTAATTTGTGGAGTGGCCCTTGGTATAAGGTTAACAACTGTTCTTCTCTTTACCAAAAAGCAACATATAAACAATTGTGATAGGAACTGACAAAATGCATTGCATATCTTTAACTGTTGGTTAAAGGCTCTCCATATACCAAAGAGATCTAAGTGAATTTGTCCTGGGCCTCCATTATTAGGACAGAAGATTATTTATTTAAAGTATATTTACCCTGACTTTCTCCTTAGAAAAGACCCAAAGTAGCTTACATCATTAAAAAACAGCATGTAAAGCTAACAACAGTGAGTATGCAATAAAAAAAGGATCAAACAAATATCACACAAAAAACGGTAAATGAAAGCAAAACTGTGTAGGGACCCTTCAGTCTTGAGATACTATGGTAACGTGGTCTGAACAGAGGTCTTGGAACAGCATCTAGTGTGGCTGCGAAGGCCAATTCGAGAGTGACAGTCCCTTCCACACTGAAGACAAATACAATCTGTCCCCTGTCCAGCTCCCTGATTTTGCTAGGTTTGGGACTGCCTCTTTGCCTCGGCCTGCTGAACAAGTGCCTCTTCAAATTGGGAGAGGCCATGATGCACCACCTGCCTCCAGGCTGAACGCTCAGATGTCAAGGTTTCCCATCTGTTGAGGTCCATTCCTAAGGCCTCCAGATCCTGCTTGCAGATATCCTTGTATCGCAGCTGTGGTCTCCCTCTGGGGCGCTTTCCCAGCACTAATTCCTCATACAGGAGATCTTTTGGAATCTGACCATCAGCCATTCTCACAACATGCCCAAGCCAACATAGATGTCGCTACACCAGAGCACATTCAAATCAATAAAGTGCACCACTCTATTAAAAAACCCCAATCAGGCAGCCAGTCACTCAGTGAAAGCCTGCCTGAAGCTAAAGGTCTTGGCCTGTTTCCGGAAGGACAGAAAAGATGGGCCAGCCTGGCCTCCTGTGGGAGGGAGTTCCAAAGTCTGGGATCAGCAACAGAGAAGGCCCCCTCCTGTGTCCCCACCAGGGGAAGGTGGCAGGATCGAGAAAAAGGAATCACCTGATGATCTTATCAGTCCTTGAGATACCTTGGGCCCAAGCCATTGAGCTATCCTGCAGTAAATAGCCTTATGCCACACAATCAAACAAACGCCAGGATCAAGATCTATCACCTGGTTGTTACAATATAAATTCCCACTAGAACATATTGGCTGAAATCCTGCTGCAGAGCACTGCCTGTGAAACAGGAATAATGTCATCCACCGTGGCAGACACTTGCTGATTAAAGGCTTTCTTCTGCAATTTCAGAGTGTGTACAACTCATATATAATGCAATAAAGTTGTATGCACCCTGCAATTGCAAAAGGAAGCCTTTAATTGGTAGAATTCAGTGGTAGCAGCTGCTGTCATTCCTGCTGCACAAGGGGACACTGCCCAACAGGAGTTCAGCCACTGGTGCACAATTTTCCTTACAGTATGAAAGGACAGTAAATAATTTCAAGAGTTAGGAAACACAACAGAGATAAGTAAGCATGCACAATGTCCATTCAGACTTTTTTAGTCATCCACCTCATCTTTAAAGGAGGTTTAGTACTGCGGGGAAAAGAAGAATCTCACATTCATATAAAGCTGGGTTTCTCTTTCACTGCGAATAAGAGGAGAGTGAGCCTGAAGTCCACTCCCATTTTCTGCTAAGTTACTTCAATCTGTCAAGCTCCCCATGTGTGTCAAAAACATACCTGTAAGAGGGTTGGATACCGTGCAGTTGTTGTGTATGCTGCTTTTCAGAGGACATGCTGACGCAGTGAACCAAACAAATGTATATTCACAGTCCTCAATGGCTGTTATCAGTTCTGGCTTGGAGTCCTGAACAAAACAACAGGACAAAATAAAAATAATATTTGCAAAGTTTCTTTGTCAAGGTATTATCTGATTTTGACAACAAGATCTGTCGTTTTAGAAAGGAAGCACAATATGGCAGAGGCGATAGTTGTGTAGCAATCCCAGTACTTCCAGAAGAACCTGTCCAAGTTATTGTGGCCAACACTGAGAAATGGAAGGATGCTCATGAGATTTACAGATAAAAACTATTTCTACTAGAAGTCTTCACCACTATGCCCCATTCGAGTTTATGCTCTGATTTTTTTTTCATACACAGGGAAGCCATAACAGTATTAGCTGCTCTGGAGGAATAGGTGAAGTAGTTTAGTGACATAGCCCATTGTCTACACATGAAAGGTCTCAAGATGAATCCGAGATGAACTTCTCCATGTGGGGCTAGGAAAGATTCCAATCTGGAATCATGGGGAACTGTTACTAGTCAGCTAAGTGGATCAGGGTCTGACTAGTGTAAGGCAATTTTGTATGAAGTATCATCCAAAAGATAGCTTATTCACTGCTTATCCCTGTCAAATAGTAAAGGGGATTTCATGACACTATCTCTTGTAAAAAAGTCAACCAGAAAACGACTTGTGATTTAGATGTGCATAACTAACATACAGTGGTGCCTCGCTTAACGATTCCTTCGTATAATGAAAAATTCGCTCAACGATTTTTTTCGGAGCTATCTTGCGCTTCGTTTAACGATTTTCCCTATGGGCGATTTTCGCTTAACGATTTCGGGACCATGCTTCGCTTAACGTTTTTGGTTTTAGGTCCCCTTGTTTCGCTTAACTTTTTTTTTGATAGCCCCGTTCTTGCTATTTTTAAAATATTCTAAAATGTTTAAAAATGTTTAAAATGCTTGGAATCGTTAGTGCACCTAATAAAACCTTCATTAACTTAATTTAGCTTTGTTCTGAGTCTTTTTGAATTTTTTTGTGAATTTTTTCCCCCATTGAAATAGGCTTCAATGCATTTCAATGGAGGAACCGCGTTTCACTTAACGTTTTTTCCTATGGTGATTTTTGCTTAAGGATGGTAATCCGTTCCAATTGGAACGGATTATCCGGTTTTCAATGCATCTCTATGGGAAACGGTGTTTCGCTTAACGATGTTTTCACATAGCGATTTTTTTTGAACCAATTAAAATCGTTAAGCGAGGCACCACTGTACACATCATGGCAGCAAATTGCTGCTAATTAATGAGGTGCTGGTTGCATTCCTGGTCAAGCAATGGTCATGTAACCAGGAACTGCCATCCAATTAGTTAGTAGCAATTTGCCAACCTACATGATTTTATTCACATACGTAAATCACCAAAAGGATTCTAGCAGTCATCTCTAGGTTTAGGGCTCTGATCCAATGGCCCTTGTTTCCCCCAGAAGCTGTTCCTCAGCCCCTGCAAGTTACAAAATCTTACCTACTGAGGCACACTTACAAGACTTTTTTCATCACATTTGAAGCGGATTAACGTAGATTTCCTCCGGATCTGATCTGGGCACTTTTCTCCATTAACGTATTTAAGCACAAAAATGCCATTCTCCAGCTGGAGTCCGTCACCTACTTCACCAAGGCTTATGTATTTAGACCCATCCATGAGGCAGGCTGCAGCATCTGGTGGACAGAAATCTGCACCAACAAAGGAGAGTAAATGGGATTGGTCTTGTATTATTGTAAGGCACTTTCATCCCGAAATTTTGCTATCTTTTTAATGTTGAATATATCCAGAAAGCATTTTTACATCTTCAGAAGTCCTTCTAGTTGATTTAAATACAGTGGTGCCCCACTTGACGACGATAATCCGTTCCAAGCCAAAAAAAAAAAAAAAATTGGAATGCATTGCAAACTCGTCAATGCGTTCCAATGGGGCAAATACCTCATCGTCCAGAGAAGATTGCCCATAGAGAACCACCAATCAGCTGTTCAAAATCGGTGTAATGCAAAGCTTCCATCCAGAAAGCAGCTATTTTGAGAACGGAGGGAAGCCAGTTTGCAGAGGGAAACCATTTTGCGAAACCAGAAAAATCATTGTATAGCGAACAAACGGTTCGTGAAGCAGGCTCCTAATCAACGTAATGCGGATTTCCCCCATAGGAACCATCGTTTTGCGATCGCAATAGCGATCACAAAAATGTCATCGTTAAGCAATTTCGACGTCCTGCGGGGTAAGCGTATAGCAGGGCACCACTGTACACATTTATGAGCTGGTTCCACTTCACCCTCGCACAGGGAAAGTTCTATATGCTATAATACATCGGTTATAAAACACAGTTAAACCATCATAACAGAAAGAAAAGACAGAGAAAGAGAGCGAGCTGTAAAATTCTGAAACACAATAGACAAGGAGCCTCTCCCCATCGAGCATTGCAGCAACCCCCAGCAAGGGCTGGGACTCCCAGTGAGCACCTCTCTTTTACCTTTTGTTTTTGCTCTGTCACTCCTAGAATTCTGCCTGGGAGATTTTTGGCAAATTCTGGGAACAGAGTCTTAGAAATCTGAAAGCTCTATCCTTATAAGTGAGAACAGAATACCTTGTCAGAGAATGAACACTCTTTGGGGATTTCCCTTCCCAGGGAGACTTGTTTGATGCCTGTGTTTATTTTAATAGGTGTGGACACAGGACACGGTAATGGGAGGAGTCTGGGAATTCTAGTCCCCAAATGGGAATTTTTCCAAGCTCTGCTTTTAGATGATAGGCAAAGACTTCTTCATGTCCCTAGGCTTTAAACTGCAAATGTATTTTTATTTCTGCTATGATGGTTTCACTGTCTTTTATAACCCTTTGTAGACATCCCTGAACCTTTTAACTATAGGGTGCTGTAAATGTAAAGGTAAAGGTTCCCCTTGACATTTAGTACAGTTGTGTCTGACTCTAGGGTGCGGTGCTCATCACCATCTCAAGCTGTAGAGCCATAGTTCGTCAGTAGACAGTTTCCATGGTCACGTGGCCAGCGCGACTAGACACGGAACGCTGTTATCTTCCCATCAAGGTGGTAACTATTTATCTATTCACATTTAAATGCTTTCGAACTGCTAGGTTGGCAGGAACTGGGACAAGCGACAGGAGCTCACTCCGTCGCGTGGATTCAATCTTACGACTGCTGGTCTTCTGACCTTGCAGCACAGAGGCTTCTGGGGTTTAACCCGCAGCACCACCACGTCCCATTGGGTGCTGTAGAAATGCTTTAAATAAATATTTTAGGTATTTAAAGGCTTCCAGTGTTCAACATATGGCCAAAATTCTTTCCAAATTTAGCCTTAATTTGCACAGTATGATTTGGCAACATGTTCTGGCACAGAATCTGGGGTTCTTTTGCACAAAATACACTGGGTGATTATTTAGAGCTCCATATAGTCCTTGCTGCAAGGTTTCTAATAAACACTACACTTTCTCATTCTTACCTACTCCTTGATGTGGCACTAAAGATTTACACACATTAATGTAATACTTCTGTGAAGAGTCAGTCTTTGAAATGGCTTCCCAGTTTTCTTTATGACGTGTCAGAGCAGAGAGATCGTAAGAGTTGCCAGCATCATCTCTGCAACACAACAAATAAAACAGTGAATTGAAGATCAATTGCAGCTGAAACAGTAAAACAGGGAGGCAACATGCACTACCAAAAATAATCCCATCTAAATGTACAGCCTAAATCACTTCTATACACACAGCTTATCTACAGAAATAACACCTTGGTCTGAATCTTCCTGCTTATGAATACCAGTGTAAGCGAACCAGTGTAAATCACAGCAACAAACTGCTGCTAGTTAAAGAGTCACTGCTTGTATTCCTCACTGCAAATCAAGACAGGTGATTGGCATGCAATGAGGAATAGAAACAGCAGCTCCTTAACTAGTAGCAATCCATTGTGATTTATGGCATTCCATTCATATCAATATACGTAAGCAACACGATTTTGGCCTATAATTCCTTCAGTAACCACTCCAAGTATGACATCACTTGCATTATAAAGGCCAAGTATCTTGGGATCCAGAACCAGAAGACGTGTTAAATCTTCCCAGTTGTCGCTCATGAACCCCCACAGTTAGACATTCCTGGTGATGATGGACCAGAAGACGTGTTTAAAAAAATGATATTTAAATCTACCCAGTTGTCCCTCATGAAGCCCCACAGTTAGACATTCCTGGTGATGATGTTCTGTGTCTCTATAACAATCACACTGAACTACTGCTAGAATGGCACAGGGAACTGCTCTAAAAAGTGGAGGATGTTATTCTTTTATCACCCTGGGGAGCAGCAACTTACTTATAAGAACATTCAATAGATTTGAAAGGAGGACAGGCAAAAGGGGTGTGCCATTCAAACATGTAAGTGCAGTCTTCAGTTTCCTTCAGGAATACTGGCTAGGAAAAGAAAAATAAAGGACTGTTACATAGGCAAATTTACACAAACAGGACTGGAAACACACAACTCCAGCTATTTGTACTCTAGACAATTTATTATACAGCCAGATTTTTAGTAATCATTTAAAATGCATACAAGAAAGGAAAATTACTGACACAATTTTTTGTATTACTGCCATGTCATGTCAATTTTGACATCTCTCAAATGTATAAACTGCATAAATGACAAAAATTACTGGTATTCCAGCTCTTGAGGGTTATTTGTTTCCAAATGTGCATTGGGAAACTCTTATTTTCCTCCCATTCAGTTTTCCTCTTAAACACACTGAAATCCATAGTGACAGCACTACTGTTTAAGGATGGTACAAAGAAAAACAGTGTCATGCAGTGGTTAGATGTTTGACTGGGGGTTGGGGGAGTCACGATGCCACTAAGCCGGTGGTGGGCAAAGTGTGGGCCTGGTGCCACATCCCAAGGCAGCATCTGCTATGACCCTCTTCTTCTGTAACCCTCCCCCAAATATATATAACACAAATTCCTGCTCCCAGAAGTGTCCAGGAGCAACAATTCACCTCTTAAATAGGTCACAACCCACACTGCACAGTTTACCAGTTCCCATGCTTGCCTACCTCCAAATCTGGGTGAGGATCACAATAGAAAAATATGGCTGTTGAACGCTCATATATCTTGTGGCAAGTTTCCCCGCTGGTGTAGTTGATTTTGATCAACCCATTATCATATGTCAACTTTGTAGTATGCAAACCTAATAGTAAAATAAAAAAAATGCAGTATTAAATGAAGTACCTTCACGTAATCTTTTCATATATAGAAAAAAGAAATATTAGCTAAACAAATATTAGCTAAACACTGCTAAGGTTCAATAGAATGATTTGGATCTTCTTTGCCAGTATCATGTCTGTTAAGAACAGTAAAAGAACTGGAGCTTTAAAAAGGCAAAGACCAAGGCTTTTATTTAGAAATTAATTCCATTTCAGCGTTCAGTTTACTTTTCATAGTAGCCCATATGTGAAGGTTACAGATCGGTTGGAACAGATTTATTTCCGTACATTGACTGGAGTGCTGAAAAGATGGCTAACAATTTCAGTTCCATATAATCCTTTACCCCATATTATCATGATTTTTTCAAATATGGGCATCTGCCCATTTGCAGTTCCCCTCACAACCAAATGCCTGACCTATTCTCAAATCCTCATTGGCTAATGCAGGAAAGAATAGTTTTTAATATTTTCCACTCAATGAGGTATCTTCTAGCAAAATTTATAATGCTTGTATGTGTAGGAAGTTCTTATCAGAATGTATTGTCTCCTGAGGCTGACTGTTGACAGTCCTCCTCTAGAGGATCAACTCTAATAACCCACATTCAGGATAGAATCAGTTCTGCTATCACTGTAGTGTTGCTTCAGAGTTACAGTACTTCTCCGATGCTGTCAACTCTTAGATCTCTGGAGCTGTTAAAAATGGCACATTTAAACACTGTGCTTGAGAAAAATAATTTAATGACTTATTTTTATTCACTCCTACATGACAAGTCAGAGATTTCACTGCCACAAGCATGTCACCAAAACAAGGACTTCCATGTACCACTGAATGCACACAATTCTTTTAAAACCACTCAAAATCATGTTCTTATGAGACCAAAAAAGGACACAGTGACATGCTCTCACTCAGAGTGGAGAACTGTGAATGAGGCAGGGTAACTAATTTTTACCCCATGGCCACACCTCTCCTGTAAATGATTAAAAATGGCCGAAAATAAGAGGGAAATCAGAACAGAAAGTAAGCAGATATGCAATACTTTTGGTGGTGGTGAATCTGGGAGGATCTTGAGACTTCAAATCTTACACCCATGCAGAAACTACTTCAGGAACGATGTCCAGGAACACAACAACTATCCCCCTATATATATGAAGATTATGGGAGTTTGGGTGTCTCACAAATGGCTGTGTGAGCAGGACAGCTCACAAGCTGAACATTTCTCACACCCAGTCTAGGTCCTTTCCCTTTTCTTCTCAAAACTCTTGTCTCTCTCCATCTCCCAACACTCAAGACGTGAATGAGGGCAACATGTCTGAGAAGGACTTTGTAGACTCAGTTGTCTTCAGATTGTCACAAAAAAGCATGAGAGTTACGAAGTAGCATCATGAAATATACGCAAAGGCATCTTTCTGTAGAAGCAAAGGAGTCCATATGTACACCATGAGTGCGGAACCCACAGCACTGCAGCTGATCTTAAATTTTGGGGAAAGGACATAGGAGTTTGGCCATCTTAAAACTCAATAATGAGGAGCTCTAACACTATTTTGACTATCTTTTCAGGTCAAGTGTCAACATTAAATTGAGAATACACATGAAATGCTGATTGCAGAAACAGTATTCCAACAGCACCACAGCAGCATCCTAAGCTTTTTAGAACCCCACACAGGACCAGAGAAAGCCTTTAGAGAAAGCAAGAGTAAGCAGATGTGGCTTTACAATAAAGGTATATTTCTGACATTTGTTCTTGGAATACATCTTGATATACCAAGTATCCATCCCTATGGAGCCAGAAAAAATACTCACCAACAATTAACTCAATAGAACCCAAAGTGACTTTACCTGCTATTTTTTTAAAACTTGGACTTTGAGTCTTAATCTGACATGACGACACCACATCCGTATTTCGTCTTGGTTGTCTGCATATTCCTTCCGTTAGTCCTCCACAGACTCTGAAGTAGTAGTCATATTCACTGGTGCTTACTTTTTTATCTTTCCCACCAAGTGGTGCCAGATCATACACATACCCATACCTTGGATCTTTCACTTGACAGTTCATACCTTAAAGAAGTGGAACAACCCAAAAAGCAGAAGGGAAAAAAATGTTAAGATTCACATCAAAACATGGAATATCTTATCCTGAAAAGCGCAGCAAAAATCAAAGATATCTTGTGTGGTTACAAGAAGGGTCAGTTTGCAGAGTTCAGGCAGGCACCCTGACATCAGAGGTGAGGCAACCGGCTAGCTGGGTACCAGGGAGAGAGTGTTCTTAAACACTTCATCCCAGTCTTGAAATGCTTCACCCAGAGAGGCGCACCTGGCTCTTGTGTTATTCTTTTGATAGCAAGCCATTATTTTGGCTTCTAGGCATTGTAGACTTAATTAAACCCTTGCTGTTGCTTTTTTTTTAAATCATACTTGTAAAAGCTTGCACTACAACATATCTTTTGGAACATGGTTACACATCTATTTATACTCTTATTACAAGAGTAACAAGCTTTGAAGATTGTGTATGTGTGAGATAATTACACACGGTGCACTATATACATCTGTCATATTCTTTCGCAAGTTAACTAGTTATGACACCTCTCTGAATTACAGTTGAGAGGAGCATGGAAGGCACACAAAGCTTTTCTGTTTGTGTTACAACTTGATCAATTGCCCTTTTCCCTCTTGTATGTCAAATATAAAGTAAAATCCAGGAGTTTTAGATATACAGTGGTGCCTCGCATAATGATTTTAATTGGTTCAAAAAAAAAAAAACGTTATGTGAAACATCGTTATGTGAAACACCATTTCCCATAGGAATGCATTGGAAACCGGTTAATCCATTCCAATAGGCACGGATTGCCGTCCTTAAGTGAAAAAACCCATAGGAAACATCGTTAAACGATACAATGTTTCCTCCATTGGAATGTATTGAAGCTGACTCAATGCATTTCAATGGCTTTGCGAAGTCAATTTTTGCAAATGTAAGTGTGTCATAAAAGGGTTAAAAATCGTTATAAATGCTTGGATTAGCTTCTGCACCCTCTAAAACGGATGCAAAAGTTAATTTGGCTTTGATCTGACGAATCCAAGCATTTAGAACCGTTTTTGACCCTTCTAAGACACGATGTTTCTTTTTTCAATTTAAAATCGTTAAGTGAAGCAGGGGACCTAAAATCGCATTTGTTATGCGAAGCATGGTCCCAAACTTCGCTAAGCGCAAATCGCCCATAGGAAACATCATTATACGGTGCATATTATTTTCTAAAAAAACACATCGTTATGTGAATTCATCGCTAAACGAGGCACTCGTTAAGCGAGGCACCACTGTACTGGGTTGAAGACAAACGTTCCCCAAGCAATCATACTTGCCTTCTGCTCTGTGCACAGGACAAGCTGCTAATGTTCTCCACACAAACACAAACTCACAGTCCTCTTCATGCTGAAACACCGGTGATCCCTAAACATGAAAACAAGATGTTCTGATGGGAATTTTAGACACACACACAAATCTAGTGGTGTTCTTTGTTAGTAAGCACTCTTCTTTAATAAGCATCTCCACCCACCACTAAGCTATGCACCAGTTCTTCAATGACCTCAAATTCCACTTGGAAAATAAAACTGTAAAGTTGGGAGACTTGCCATTCACACAATCCCCATGTCCCCATCTGAGAACCTGAGACAGATGCATTGCTTAATCAGGAGTGATCTAGCTAGCTTGTGGAGATCAAATCAGGGAGAGGGAAGTGCTGTGCTGCACTGCATTTTGGACACACGTGTATTCTGAGGATTACATTACACCCTGAAGCTGCTGGACCAAGAGATCAAAGCTGGTAACAGGGACAGGCAATCTTCAACTTGCACCACACTTCAAACATAAGACATCATCTACCTGAGCAGATACTGCCTCTCATGTAGAAAATTGTAACCTGAAGAAATATCCATTCCTTTCCACTGAATGAACGAGGATCAATGAACTTTCACCATAATCATCTCATAGTTTCCAATATCTGCAAGTCCACATAGAGCTAGAAAAGCATGTTCCACCTTCTTGAGTGAGCAGCAAAAAATTAACATTGCTACACACTGCAACAATTACTCAGGCAGAAAATACACCACATCGATATGAAGGTATGTCAGCACACTGCCATGCATTTCAAACAGAAGGGAGATTCTGATGTGATACTATCTAACTTGATAGCTCACTACGATGTAAAATAGGATAAACTATTTTTGTAAGTTCTGAGGACAGATGGAAGTATGTAGAGAGGGGAGTGTCAAATACTGTGATTAAGATTGCCTTGTAAATTGCAAAGATGCAGCTCCAAGTCAATTCTTTATACAAATGCACTGAGTTTCTTCCAGCACTAGAGGGCTACTAACCAGAGGAGAACCAGAAAATCACATGCCAGCATTAACTTGTTTCTCTGTTTTAATGGTGCAGAATTGGGTAAACTAGAGCAGTGCAGGGGTGGGGTAAGTAGAGGGTGATGGTTAGCCCTAAGGAAGCTTGTAAGGTTATTCAAAGTGCTCAAATAATCACATCTATACACTTCAGGATAATATTTCACTGACATGCAAACTCACCATAGCTTGATCACACTGGAAAATGATGCGTGTTGAATATTGCCGGTTACCTTTGCATTTATCTCCACTTAAGTACACAACACTAAGAGATCCATCTGTGGCAGCTTGAGGGCTTATTTGAATCATACCAAGATTCTGACCTTTGGTACCATATTTCACACAAGATCCTATTGCACCACCTGCAGCCAAAGAAATAGGTCAACATACATTTTTATTTCTAAATAGGGGGGGAAAGGCATCAATCCTTTTGAAAAGGGGACTAGAGGTCTAACTAAGGAGGTTCCTCTTCTTAATGAAATTAGCCAAATCTGCGTTGATCATCATTTTAATTTTCTGTTTCTGAAGTCGGTCAAGAAGTCAAATTGTGAAAGAATTTGTTTTACTTACACTTGTTGTTTTAGGACATTTCCTAATTTACAACTTTTATTGGAAAATTGCTAAATACATTCTCTTTATGTTAATTGTTAAAACATTACATCAATTGTTCAGCAGTCTAGTAAAAATATCCAAGTGCAAAGTACAAACCAGTTCTTAATCCTGCCTACTGAAATATAAATTCTAATTTTAAACTCTGTTTCAGATGGGCTTTACAATTAAGGAAATTCAAGAAGATTAGCTACAGGCAACCTACAAACTTATCCTCCCACATCGCTACACATTACATGCAGCTATTACCATCTCTGTATACAAATTCATCCATCTTCAATGGGAAACATGGAAGGTGCTTTCCCAAATAATGTGAATATATCTGGGTGTCCCCTTGGCAATAATTTTGTCATCTGATCATTCCACTCCTGATGTGCCAACGTAAGGCAACTCATTGTACAAACAACACTCATCGTCTATTATTTGAAGACTCACAGATGTCAAATCAAGGATTGACTCAGCAGAAGCCACGGCCTTTATTTTGTAAGATCTGAGCAAGGCAATTAGACAGGACCTTTTGAAGGTCATTAATTTACAGGGTCACCGTAAGCTAGAAGCAATGTGGTGGCATATAACAAAAACAAGATGACAAATAAAAGAAACTATCGGTATACAGCATTAGAAGTTGCTCACTGCATCTACACTTAATGCTCAGTCCCGCTGGCTGAGATGGGCCACTCTGACACTTCTGTAAAATCAGATGAAACAATGCAAGTTCATTAGAAGAGAAAAGGAAGGCAGGAGGACTCTGAAAGGAAGAGATGTGGTTGTATATGGATGGGGGAAAAGATACAGCCCATTTTCCTGGAAGTCCAATAGTTTCAGTAACAAGTAAAATAATGTTAAAATTCTTACCAGGGCACCCTGGAACATATGGAAGAGGTTTACAAACATTCAGATAGAAAGTTCTTGTCTTTGCATCTTTTGATGTATCCAAAGCAATCCAAGGCTTGTTTTCTCTGCTCAAGTCACTCAGGTCGTATTCATTGCCAGCAGCATCTTAAAATACAACAGGAACCAAGTTTCAAAACATTCAAACCAAGATTGCTTATACAAGTGGGGAAAACGATGTCAAGGGTGCTTCCATTGAATATCTGCATAGATCTGCATTCCAGTGATCTTCCTATGGAATCTCCAGTAACCTTTCCAGAGAATAGTCCCATTTCATTTTACTTACCTGTAACCTGACAGTCAACTGGAGCAGGTGGACATGCTAAGGCTGTGTGAAACTCAAAGAAAGTATTATGAATGTTGCGGGCAGAATTCATCTCTTCGTGCACAAATTTAAGTTCTCCAGGATAGGACTGATTGCAGACAAAGGTGATGATGAAGCTGTCATCAGGCCCTGAAAAGTAAAAATAAAGCAACATTGTCTACCAGCATTTTACATTTTTCTGCATTCCCCCATTTGTCACCCACACTCTTATCTCTGTGACACTTCTGTCTGCATTTAGTTTTTTCAGTCTGATAAAAAAATAGCAATGCACAGTGTTGGACAATTGGGTAGAAGCAATGCCATCAGAGGTGCAACAAGGCTTGAAAGTAAAATCCATCACTGACTTCAATAAACACAATCCTGGGTGAAGATAAGTAATGCAATCATAGAATAACTGAGTTGAAAGGGCCCTTTAAGGCCATCAAGTCCAACACCCTGTTCCATGCAGGAATCAAAATCAAACCAGAACTGACAGAGTGTTGTCCAATTTTCTCTTGAATACTTCCAGGGGCTGCTGCACTCTCCACCTCCCATGGTAACTGGTTCCATTGTCAAACTGCTCTAACAGTTAAGAGGTTTTTCCTGATATTCAGCCTGAATCTGGCTTCCTATATGTGTCCTGCACTCTAAAACAGATCCTGCCCCTCTTCTGTATGGCCGCCTTTTAAGTATTTGAAGAATGTTATCATATCACCCTTCAGTCTTGTTTTTCTCAAAGCTAAGCATGCCTTATTCTTTCAGTCTTTCCTCACAGGGTTTGGTTTCCAGTCCCTTGATCATCCTTGTTGCCTTCCTCTGAACTTATTTCAGTTCACTGGCATCCTTCTTAAAGTGCAGTGTCCAGAATTGGACACAGTACTCTAGATGAGGCCTAACCAGTGCTGAATAGAGAGGAACTAGTACCCCACGAAATTTGGAGACTGCACTTCTGTTAATGCAACCTCACATTTCTGCAGCCACACAGTATTGCTGGCTCATATTTAGGTTTTGATCCACAATAATTCCAAGGAAATATTACCTCTGTAAGTAAGAGACAGATACCCTTCTGTAGACAGCTGAAGAGTTTTGTTCAGTTTCACCAAACGAATGTGTTTCAAATCTTCTGTTTCACACCCACCAATTGAATCTTCATTTGGTGTATTTTCAGTAGGCTTACAATCATTTGCTGGTCCACAAATATTTATCTAAGTGATTTAAACCACATCTAGTATTGTATTAGTTGTCCTAAAGTACATCAACATGTAACTGGGTGGGCTTCTCTATTACTAGCTACACCATTTGTTTGTTTTTGCACCTTTATACATTTACATATATTGCTAACTGCACACTGAAGGTTAAATGAGACAACTGTTTATCATAGGGTGGTTTTCTTTTGAGAGGTGTTCCCCATGTGATTGAAAACATCTGTTTTTCACATGACAGTAAGCATGATTTGCTTTGTGATTGGTCTATCTGTTTTTCACATGACATATCTTGCAGTAAGCATGATTTGCTTTGTGATTGGTCATGTGTGAGGGGGACAGGCTGGTGGAAATTATCATGGATTCCCTTGTCAGACACAGGAAAAATATTTTTCATGCTCTTTAGGCATCTCCAAAATAATAGAGAACCTAAAGCTGAATTCACCTGCAAACATGTAGGCATTCCTATTCTACCACAGTAGTACAGAAAAGTGCCTTATAAAGAGTCAAACATTTGGCCCCTTGAACTCAAGCTTAATCCAGACTCTTACTCAGCTCCACACAGGGTAGAACGAGAAAAAGTTATTCCTGTCCACCACAACCCCCAGGATCCCAGAGTGATGGTCACAGTCCAAAGAAAAGACACTTTTCAGAGACTAAGTTTGGAATTCTGTCATCCCTGAACCCCCCTCCATTTGGCTACTTCCATTCCTGATGGTCAATTAGAAGTACTGATTTGGTGCTGAAAGGAAAGCCAGAAGACAACAGAAGTTTTTGATCAGGGAAACAATTATTACCATGTACTCCTTCCCAACTCCCATGACTAAGTATCCTCTTTCTGAAGCTAATGACTCCAGGTTATATACAAAGCCAGTGTTCGGATCCTTTACAGAGCAATTCTGCATTTAAAAAAAAGGAAAAAAAACTCAATATTTTATTAACAGGAGAAACATGAAGACATGATGCTGATACAATACATACTCAGAATACTTGCAGCATTAGAAATAAGTCAGTTAAAGGTAGGCTGTCTTTCATATCAATCAGGGTGGGGATGAGAACCTCCAGAGAAGTGGGGTCTATATTCTTCCAACCAGGACCTGAAGGCCACACCTGCCCTCCAATCCCCCCTCCATCCAGATGTTTTTTTAGATTAGGAGGTCTTCTGAAACATGATAATTATTTGGGGCCACTAATACCCAACTAGCCAAACTTGACTCAGACATGAAAGCTTTTTCTTCTTTTCATTTTCAAAACCAAAATTTGACTGGCCTGTCACTTCCTGTATGGAAAAAAAAGGATCCCCATAGGCCTAAATCAGGTTGGTAGAAATAGTCCACCATGTTCCCAATTAGAATTTCAGGCCACAAATAAGCTTTTATCTAAAATAATAATAATAATAAAGTCTAAATGTGCAGGTTGTCCAGAGCCACTGCACTTTTGCCACTTCTGAGTTAGGGTTTATTTTGACATCAGTTAAATACTACTTTCAAGTAAAATTAAAGGGACATATGGTTATTCTACAAGTCAGCAGAAGGCAATGAAAATCAGGATTACTGGTGCCCAAAGTAAACGTAATCCAAGAGCATGTCTTGTAAGTCACATTCAAATATTGGACATCACAGGAATGTACCATCCTATGTCTTATTTTGCTATACAATCATGAAGTTAAATAAGCTTTCCAAAAGAAGCTATTTTAATGAAACCTACCATTCTCTAGAAGCAAAAAGCAGGGACATATTTCAAAGTAAGAATATTGCAAAGTAAGCAATAATATTAAATGAGAATGCTTAAAGAAGCGAACACATAGGGAAGACCTGTTGTCTGCAGGTTTTAGTCAGTGACTTCTTAGCTTGTATGAAAATACAAGTACGATCTACAAATATCCTTTTTATATATATCTTCTGGCCCTCACCTGAGCTTCTCCTTCAGTTGTTGTCACTGGACAGGCAGCTTCTGTCTCCCACAGAAATGTTGCAACGCAGTCTTTTATCTCTATGAATCTTGGGCTACTATTCTAGAAGTGAAGGTGATCAGAAAGTTAAGAGAAGGAATGCACAAACAGCCTGGATTTGCAACCAAAACAGTAACAAATTTAGGGTTCATTGAAATTATGATTTGGAAGGACAAGATTTCAGCTGCTAGCAAAAACTTTCAAGTTGGCATTTTATGAAAATCAAGACAGACTAGGAATACTCAAAAGATTTGCTATTAACATGCCTACACTAAAAACCACTCACTATTTGTGCATTTACAGTGGTGCCTCGCACAACGAGGGCCTCACACAGCGATAAATTCACACAACGATGGCTTTGCCTGAAAAATTTGCCACCTCACACAACGATGTTTCCTATGGGGAATTTTCATACAACGATGTCCCTTTTCGCTCCTGTAAAAGTGCCTTAAACTGTTTGAAAAGTGTTTTAAATGCTTGCAATTGTTAGCCCACCTCCTGAAACCTATGCAAACTTAATTTGGTGTTGTTCTAAGGCGTCGTTAATTTTTGGTGATTTTTTGTTTTCTCCATTGAAAGCCATTGGACGGTCCAATTGGAACGGATTAACCGGTTTTCAATGCATTCCTATGGGAAATGGTGTTTCACAGAATGATGTTTCACAGAACGGGTTTTTTTTTGAACCAATTAACATCGTTTAGAAATTCACAAAGCACAGTACAAACAACAAAATGGCATTATAAGAATACAATACAGAAATAATATTAAAATAAATTAAAATGATTCGAAACACTTTAAAACAATTGTGCAATATTTATTTATCTTTTAATATATTTGTCATTTATAGGCTGCCTTTCTCCCAGTAAGGGGACTCATAAGGGGACTCAAGGTGGTTCACAATATTACAAAGAATAGAATTAAAAATACAATAAATTATACATTAAAAAACATTAAAACTTATTAAAACACACTGAGCGTTTAAAAACATATAAAATATTTAAAACTATCTCAAGTAAAAATGGAATTCTACACAAATTAAACAAGACCAGCTCTGTCCCAAACAGAATTAAAATAAAGATCTGAGAGTTTAAACTCATTCTCAAAATGGCAAAAGGTCATATATGGGGACTCCATGGCAAGTACCGCATTTTTCACTCCATAAGACGCACCTCATTTTTAGGGGAGGAAAACAGGAAAAAATATTCTGGCAATTTCAGCCCACTTCCAGGACCCTTCCGAGGCTTTCCAAGCATCAGAACAGTCCTGGAAGGTTGCGATTTCACCCCCGCTGGCCCCACGGGGGTGGGCAGGTGGGTGGAGCCTCCAAAGGCTCCTGGAAGGCACTCCTGGACCCTTCCGAGGCTCCCCCCACCATACCCCAACTGGGCACTGGGGAGCGCTGTTTTACAGTTATTCACTCCATAAGACGCAGACACTTCCCCTCCACTTTTCGGGAGGGGAAAGTGTGTCTTATAGAGTGAAAAATACAGCAGATAGAACAATTGAGATGACATATATGACATTTTCTGGGCATGGGGAATTAGGGAGAGTGGATTCTTAATCATTATTATCAAACTCTATGAATCCTAATTTTCCACTACACTGTCTCCCCAAATGACCGGCACAGCTAAACAAGGCAACAGTTGAAAACCCCAGCAAGCAATCAAATCATATAATGCATATGATGCCACAGTGTGATGAGAAAGGATGTTAACTGAGAACTTACAAGAGCACCCTTGGAACAGGAGAGATGGATAAGGCTTGAGAAAGGCTCAATCTTGTCATCATCTGCTCTGACACACAGAGCACCACCAGTGTAGTTTAGGAGGATTCTGCCTCGTCCTTCAATTACGGGAGCATGGCTAGCAATTCCCAAGTTACTGTTGGAAATTTCTGAAGAGCCAGTCTGAAATGAGGGAAGAAGTCACTGTGAATATTGTAGAAGATTGATCTATTTCACAAAGTTGTTTCAAATACTTGCTTCAAAATAAGTGGAGTCATACTATAAAGAGAAACTGAGAGATCAAGCCTGTCTTCCACTTTAGGTAGCCCTCAGGGTAACTGCAACATTTAGAACCTTGTTTGTTGGGTTACAATCACAATAACACAGAGATTAAGGTTAAAATTGGAACTCCCCACAAAGAATTCTGACTGAAGACTAAGCTTAGTTTATGAGGTTTTTCTTTCATCAGTATAGATATACTCACTCTCTCCCCTACCTTATAAGTCATTTCACAGACTGAGGCCCGTCTGTCACAGCCTGGGACAGGGTTCAAAGGTCGGCAGATATTTATGTAGTATTTTTTGTGAACATGCTGTTCAGAGTTGTCCATGGCAAACCAGTTTTCGGTTCTGCCTCCTGATAATGATAAACTGAAAGTATGCAAAAAGAAAAAAAGTACTGAGTTCTAAAATACTGTTCATACTTTTAACAGAGTTACAAATCACAAGACCATTTACTCTGAAGTAATGTTGCTCTCCCCCCCACCGCATCTATTCATCCACCCCAGTGTAGCAGCCACACTACACAAATGGTGTTTAAACAATCACAAATTTAAGTTACACTACGAGTGGAAGCAAGTTCAGTGAAACCTCACCACAAACATATTCAAGAATACAATGTATTCGCGAAGGCTTTCATGGCCGGGATCTAATGGTTGTTGTGGGTTTTTCGGGCTCTTTGGCCGTGTTCTGAAGGTTGTTCTTCCTAACGTTTCACCAGTCTCTGTGGCCTGCATCTTCAGAGGACAGCACTCTGTGCTCTGGTGTAGTTGGCTTGGGAGTGGAGTATTTATGGTTGTGAGATGGGCTTTTGTCGTTTTCTGTAGATGGGTGATTAGTGTGTTTTGTTGTGGGTGTATTGTTGTGATAAGGAGTGATTATCTGTCACTGTGGTTGATGGGTGTCATTAGCTGGTCTTTAGTGTGTAGTGATCCCCTGTCCTTGTGCCTGCGTAGAGTTCATTCGAAACGTTAGGAAGAACAACCTTCAGAACATAGCCAAAGAGCCTGAAAAACCCATAACTAAGAATACATTATTTATTGCCTTTCTCACAAGAGCTCAGGGCTTTTAATTATGAAATGAGTAAAAATACAAACAATCCTTAGGAAAAGACATGGTTTGGAAAGTTATTTTGAATTTTAATTCCTGTATTCTGTCAGCCAATACGGTAAGCAGCCATTCTGGTTGGGGATTTATAGGAGCTGTAAAACCAAAAAGCAGTTTTCTGCAGTTCTGGGAATATGCAGCCCATTAATCCATTTTTATCAGGGTAGATTCCAGGGCATTTTAGTGCCTGGAGAGCAAATGGCTCTTCCCAGCCATCCAAGTCAAGGTGCACAGGACTTAAAGCCAACCACATTAGCTTGGCAGAAAAGGCAGAAAATGCCCAAAACATCTCTTCACATCCATAAAAACAGAAACACAGGAGTAGGAAACAAAGTAAGTCACTGTCTTTTCATGATCCTCTTAATCTACTGCCTGAGGTGGTGACCTCATCCTGCATCATGATAGGGCTAGCTGTATCCCTTATGTCCCATTTATTTCAAGCTGTGGAAGAGAATGCCAACCCTGCCATTTTACACAGAAGGCTTAAGTATAAAATATATGATCATGCTTTCACTAGGAAGAACTTGCTCAGTGACTATTTCCAACCACATTTTAGAATAAGAGAGATGCTGCTTTTTTGTTTACCTTGAAAGATCATATTGTTCCAGAGTTTGAGGATCCGTTACAACACATTCTATGGGTATCTCTGGACAGGCATACTGAGTGTACCACTTGAAGTTGTATGTGAAGTTGTCTTCTGCCTAAGTTATCATGATTGCATGGCACACAAAACAAAGAAATTAAAAACTGGAAGTAGCTATGGTTACTTAAAATGGCGAGTTTCAACATATACAATGCAGGTTTGTTCTCATACATGAAATCTCATTTATACCATCAAAAGTTCAACTGAAATGTGTGCCAGGAAATTGAAATTTACAAGTACAAACTGTAATCTCATTTTCCAAAAACAAAAAAACAAAAACCAAGATTGTTTTTACACATATATCTCTGTTTACAACAACTCTGCATAAAAGAAATCCCCAGCACAGTGCACTTCATCCAGAAAACAAAAACTACAAGAAATTCTCCAAAAGCTACTTACTGACAACCTTTTGGGCCACTCAGGAAACCACAATAGGAAGATCTAAAAATGGTGGCATGCTAAGCCTCTTAGGAGCCCTCCCAATACATCTGGAGAGGTTAACTTTCTATTATACTAAAATTCTGGCATTTAAACAAGGACGCAATGTAAAGAGGAAGAAAATAAAGTTCTTCAAATTCAGTTCTTACCTGATACTCAGGTACACCCAGGCCTGCTTCACGATCACATAGGAAAGTTATATGGGTAGACCGTTTTGTCTGCTTCTCATTGTTGTAGGGTGTACCATTCTGATAGTTCAGCTGAATCATTCCATCATAGTAGGAGAGCTCAGAACTGGGCATCCCCAAACTCCACGCACCACCACTAAATAGATACATAAATGCAATTTCATATTACGTTTCACACATAACATCAACTCTATCCTCTGAGACGGGGTCCCCAACCCCAGTCCGCAGCCCAGTGCCAGTCCGTGGGGTTGCCGGAACTGGGCTGCGGAGACGGATCTCCGTCCCCCACTCGCACCCCCCTCCGCAAGTGCAACATACCCAGCTGCAAGCGTGGAGGTACCCACACCCCCACCCCCGCGCACAGAGCCCTCATCCCCCAACCGGTCTGTGGTCAGAAAAGGGTGGGGACCACTGCTCTAAGACAACAGAGAGTCAAATGTGTTTTGAGTGATGGAGTGGAGCTTAGAAGATCAATATTAAAGTCACCACTGAGCCATGAAGTTCATGGGCTGATCTCTCATCATTCTCTCTCATCACAACATTATTCTGAGAACAAGGTAGAAAGGAGGACAGCTAAGAAGGGTGAAAAGATAACCATGAGAGGAGAAGGAGAGCACTGAAGTAACTGAAGTCTAAAAATGTGGCTAGTAAATAGAAAAGAAATTGCACAGTTGAGCTGAGTTTTACAAGCCCTTTCCATCTAGTACCAGAGGTTGACAAGCCAAATAAAAATCAATGGGCTAATATGGTCTTTTTTCAAACACGCACAGCTATTTCAAATGACAGAGGCATGGGATACAGAATTGATACTAAGACATTGCATATACACCACAGAAGTAACAGGCTGATGTAGAAATCAATTGTGGTAGAAGTATACATCTTGCAAGGCACTCAACAAAACTCAGCACAATCAAAAGCAAAGGAGCCCAAAACACCTGGGAAACCAAAGATTCCTCACATCTGCTTTAAAGCCACAACACTGAACATGATTTTAGCATTCAGAAGGATTCTGAACACATATTCACAAAAGTAAGATTGAATAAATTCAAAGGGACTGTCTGCTTAACAATTGTTCTTTGGCTTACAGCTATGCAATGCAGTTCTGAACAATTATTCAGAAATAAATCCCACGCCATTCAATGAAGTGTACTCCCAGGGCAAAAGCATGCAATGGATTGCTGCCTCAGCAAACATTACATGGCATGTTAGTATATTCAAATGATCCAGGAAAAATCATAAGCAGCCCTTACCCTTTCTTTACTTGGCATGCTGCAGACTGTGATCCACACAACGTGTTCTCTACACTGCCACAAATACTGATATGGAAAGTATAGTCACTTGTGTTTACTGGATAGGTCTTGTTCATCAGTGGAGATAAGTCAAAAGAAAACCCTAAAGCAAAATATAAATCTTGTTCAGTAAGGAGTTTAAGGAAGTTTCACAACAGAAAAGGTGTACAAGTGTGATTTAGTATTTATTTATTGCATTCTTATACCAACCCATGTTAAACAGACACTCTCTGTGTGGTCTAGACCAAAGGTCGTCAACCCCCTCAGGTCTGTGGCCTGAGCTGGACCGGGTTGCGGAGACAGACCTCCCCCCCCGCATACACTCCCCTTCCCACAGCTGCTTTGCACACACACGCTTACATACCAGAACCAGCGTGAGCACTCCCCCACCCCTTCACAGATGTGTCCAAATGCCCACACGAATGGGTGGGCGGGCGTGCAGGCACTCCTACACATGTGCGAAGGGGTGGGGGAGCACTCATGCCGGTGCTGGTGGGCGTCCATGCACTCACCTACTGCTTTGTGCATGTGCCCAAGAGTGTGCATGGCCCACGCGCACCTGCGCAAGCGTGGGGGGGTGCCCCACCTTCCTCAGAGGCTCAGCCAGTCCACAGTCCCAAAAAGGGCGGGGACCGCTGGTCTAGACACTCCATGTATTATATATTATTAAAAAGTGGGAGGGGATGACAGGTTCGATTTGGTTTAGTAGGCATGGCTTACATGCAATTCCAATTTCATTCTGGGTCAATTGCTTTAGGAGGTAGAGACAGGTCTGCCCCTGTTATGAAAGACAAGTGGCATACGACCACTGGGGGTTCAATCTAATGCAGGGCTGTAGATTTTCATATACACCGACCTTCTACATCCCAAGCACTGCTTAACTGGTTTCAACAGATTAGTCACTTACCAGCTTGAGAGTCAGAAACTCTACAGTGGTCACCTTTTGTTTTGGAAAGGACACAGGCTGCTGCAGTATGCCATTCAAACTCATACAAGCACCCATCATACCCAGAGCTAATCAAAACAGGAGCACTTTCCAGGTCACCTGGCAAGACAGCAGTTAAGAGAAATGATCAAATGACCAAACAGCACAGGTTCTCATGTTCAAGTTCACTTCAGCTGCCCTCAGAATTCTTGGTCTAGCATACAATTCATTACTATAACAAGCTAAAGTGTCTCGTTACTGCAGAAGAGATAACCTGAAATTAAGTGTTTCTTCCAACAGGCATCCCCAGATGCTGGCGGTGGCACAACATCAGAACAACAAATACAGCAGCAGAATGGGCCCAGGTACAAGAATGGAGAAGGGAGAAAGCAGCAGCTTTGGCAGGCTTGGCATAACTCATGGGCCGCACACTGAGAACTACAAAACTACCTCTGCCTTTGTGGAGAGACACTCCAGTTCTGGAGGCCACCACCAGTTTTTTCAACCTTCATAAAAATTAGCTGTTCATTTATTTAATTTATACAATTAAACTATTTACATAACATCTTTGTCCTGTTTGCAACTGCAATTGTAGGCTTGGGCTTTAATAAATACAAAGTACTCACCTGGTTTGCATATAAGAAGAATCTTTGTTTCAGCCTTCTTGTTCGGTTTACACTCATCACCATCTGAATAGAGAAGCTGAATATTCTCCCCAACCTTTGTTGGAGAAGACATAAATGTCCCCAGGTTTTCTGTACTATTGTTTTTATCTAAACAGCAATGCACAAGAGAAAAATGAGGATACCTGTTTAATACAAATACCTGTGAGCATTCAAGGTTTGGTACAATAAAGAAAAAGATTTCAAAAGACAGCCTCCCCATTTTTTTCAATTTTTTAAATAAAGCATTTATATCCATCCACTGCACAGTGTTCTTTTTATACTGTGAAATCATCTAAGGCAAAAGGAATTCTAGATTCATCTAACCTGTTTAACATCCATTGATAAAATAAATACATGCATAAAGGCTACACTCTATCAGGGACTTATATGGGAGAAACAGATACCTAAGGATGCAAAACAGTAATAAAACAAACACCTTAAGGTAAAGTTTTCTTAACCGTAACTGTCCTGAGCAATAGTTATCTTAAGCACACACCCTGTACCACTACATCCTCTATCACTACTTTGTCTGCTGACAGACCTCATAGGAGCTTCGAAGGTCAAATGGAACAGTTACATAGTATATTTGCAGGGCCTTCCAAAATGTTTGCTGACACGATCGATGGTGTGTGTGTGTGTGTGTGTGTGTGTGTGTCTGTCTGTCTGTCTGTCTGTCTGTCTGGGGTTCAAAAGACATTAGGATATTTATGTAGAAGCCATGATGTACATACATATCTTTTATGTAATGAGAGGTGAAATTTTAAAAGATAAGAAAGCTGAGGTCAAAACTTCTGCAGAAAAACTTTGCCACACACACACACACACACACACACACCCACACCCACACACCCCCACCCCCACCCACACCCCCACCCCCACACACACACACACACACACAAAAGGTAGATGAACAGCACAGCCTGTATTCAAGAGAAACTGGATTTATTCATCTACTCACCAACTGAGCAGACAGAAGCCTCCTTTGGACAGTTCATTGCTGCTCCTTTCTGAAGGACTTTGTGACAGACATTTATGAAAAAGTGTTTCCTTTCTACTTCTACAGGATTTCCATCTACAGCTTCCCAATTCTGTTCTGAGTCTAAAATTAAGCAATTACATTTGACATTTAAAATTGTTTACTATATCATATTACTAGAGAATAGAGATGGGCATGAACCAGCGAACCAGCCAGTTTGTTTTTCAGCCAATTCGTTTTCTTGACAGTTTGTTTTTTAGCATAACAGGTATTCGGCAGTTCCCTGCCCAGTCTTGTAGAGAATATACAGAGCAGTAGCAGCTTATGGCACCAATAACCCCACATATATTATATAAGATATATTGCTTAAAGTAACATGAAATCAAATGGTAAAAATCATGTTAACCTATAAGTAAGAGCAGGGCAAGGCAAAAAAAAAAATCTTCCATCCCAGGTAACTTTCCCCACCAGAAGGAAATCAGCCAATTACAGCCCTGCTCTTGGGGGCGGGGGGTGCAACCAGCCATTTAAGTCCTCTTTTGGGGCTGCTGGGCCTTTTATTAGGCCAAAAATAACAGTTTCTATTTTTTGAAAAAAGTCTGTTTGGGTTGGGGGGGGTTAAGGAGCAGGGGGAAGCAGCCTGCAAATAGCCATTTCAAACCCCTTTCTGGCATCTAGAAGCACAACTGAGCATTTTCACATTAAAATTTATTTTTTGCTTGGAAGTGGCATGTGGTACATTTCAAGTCCTCCATCCCTGGTTAAGAGGGCAAAAGCCAGAGAAGGATCCACCTTCCTCCAGAGGGGAGTGGGGTTAGACTGACCGCTGGGACTTCTGCCTGCACTGTCAGGTGACAGCACAGGCTACAACAGTGGTTCTTAACCTTTATTACTCGGATGCTTTTGAACTGCAACTCCCAGAAACCCCAGTCAGGACAACTGGTGGTGAAGGCTTCTGAGAGTTGCAGTCCAAAACTCCTGAGTAACCCAAGGTTAAGAACCAGTGGGCTACAAGACCTCTTCTAAGAAGTAGTGCAGAGGGGGGGAAACACACCTCCCTTTCTGAGAAAGTCACATATAACAATTGAAGTGATCTCATACCTTCAGAAGACTTATTAAAGACAGCCCTTAGATCACCCTGCAGAATAGATGTCTGCTAATAGCATATTTTACCAGTGGTTTATGTTCTCTGCAATTATTCATATGGTATTTCAGAAGTAGTTCTAAGCCACACATTTTGACTTTAAATCTTCAAACACTTGGCCTCAGACCAAAACTTCATGTATCATTAGTTCCCAAACTGAAGACCTCACCATGCTGGATTGCATCTCTCAGAAACCTTATCTATCTATCTATCTATCTATCTATCTATCTATCTATCTATCTACATATGGTATTTCAGAAGTAGTTCTAAGCCACACATTTTGACTTTAAATCTTCAAACACTTGGCCTCAGACCAAAACTTCATGTATCACTAGTTCCCAAACTGAAGACCTCACCACGCCGGATTGCATCTCTCAGAAACCTTAACTATTTATTTATTTAATTTATTTATTTATTGGACTTATATACCGCCCCATAGCGCTACAAGCACTCTCCGGGCGGTTTACAATTTTTAATTATACAGGCTATACATTGCCCACCCCCAGCAAGCTGGGTACTCATTTTACCAACCTCGGAAGGATGGAAGGCTGAGTCAACCTTGAGCCGGCTACCTGGGATTTGAACCCCAGGTCGTGAGCACAGTTTTAGCTGCAGTACAGCGTTTTAACCACTGCGCCACGAGGCTCTATTAGCCATGCTGGCTGTGACATTAGGGGACCCAAATTGGAAACTCCCATCCGACACTACACAGAAACTTTATGACCATAAAGGTGCACCAGGTTCATGCAATCCAGTTGTGTACCGTTTTCAAAGAAGCACAACATGGAGACTTTGTTTGTTTGTTACTAATACTCGACAACAAGGAACTCATTCTGCTTTATAGGATCACCAGCATTTGATAACTGGCCAAAGCAAACACTCTGTCAACAATTCAATTTAAATTTGAAATGTAAGACTTTAACGGGTACAGTTTTCAGTTTATGTATTACCAACTCAGAATCTGTCTAAACGTAGAATAGATAACAAAAACATACCAACTGAATTAATAACAAAATTTTAAATTATCCATACCAGAATGACGAATCAATCGTGTCAAGTCGTAGCGTTTCTTTTTATCTGCTACCATGCAAGGGAGATCTTCCTTTTCTCCAATACATGCATATTTTGTTTGCCAGCTAAAGAAATATGTGCAGTCTGTTTCACCAGTAAACTCTGGGTGACCTTTGCCATCATCATCTTTAAGAAATTCACAGCCATACAAAAAGATTACACACCAATTTAGATAACAGAGAACAGGTAATATATAAAAATATATAGAACAATGATTTAAATGAGTTATACTGTATTCCATCTCCTATTAAGTTTTTTTCAAGATATGGTTAAAACAACAATATTATCAATTAATAGCAACAGAGAATTCAGGAAGAACCAAGAACTGTCTGATGGAGGAACAGGGATTACTGAACTATATACCTTCAAATACATCAGAATTTATACCAGGAGAGATTATAACAAGAGGGACTTGCCTAGGAGTAGTACTGTCGCAATTAAAAGCTGGAGTACCCAGAGAAGGGTAGGCACATGTGGAATAAGCAGGACCATAGCTTGAGAATTTTCAATTCTTAACCAAGAGTGTAAGTATGTCACAAGCCCTAGGCACAGAATTGTCTATAGAGTATTGATGCAAGACGAAATAAACATATATTCTCAAGAATTCAAGATTCCTCTATCTGTCAAGTCAGAAGAATGAGAATGTTGCTACGTTCCATCAAGGTCACCTGAAGTCTACCATTTGGTGTCCAGTAAAGGGTACCCTAAAAACTCTGGAAAGCAACAAAAAAGAACAAACAAGCAATGGCATCCTCTTTTGTGTCCTCATCATCTAAATTTTAGAGGGATATCGTCTCTGATCACGAAGGTGTGATTTTCCACCATCAATCTATGGCATGCCTCACTTGCGCTGACATATGCCATTATTATTTCACTTCTCCCGAATCAGTATAAAGCTACTGACAGGTATAGATTCATAATACACATCGATAAAAATCTTTTCCCTATTTATAAGAGAAAACATCTAGCATCTATTCAAGCATGTAACTTTGTGCTTTAAAAAAGAACTGCTACATGTAACGGAGCCAAAGCAAAAGCAAACACATTGCTCAGCCCAATCCACAGATTCCACAAACTCGTTTATCACCTGCTGTCTGGTTGCATTCAAAGTTTATGACAGTCATTCGTTGGAAACCAGAGCTGCAAGGATCTCCTCCTGGATATGTCAAAATGAGGTCCCCATCAGCATACCTGGATTTCAAAAGCCACAAGTTGCTGATTAGCTATAACAAATATGAGGTAAGGAAGAGAGAGTGTAGCCATGGCTCCACACTCAAACATACCGAAAAAATATGGTGTATATTAGATTAACAACCTGGATGCAAACAGTGATAGAAGTCTGTAATCAAACGTGGTAACTATTTGTTTTTGTTTACATTTTAAGACTCTGAATATTTTGCATGCATACTCACTAGAATTTAATACATTACAGGTAACAGTTCTTTGATAGAACTAGAGCTGTCCCTTGTAATCAATTCACAGCTCACCATGTAATCCTCAGGAGCAAGCATTAGCAAATGCATTACTTCTCATTAATATTAATTCTCTATAGTTCTATTAACACTCAACTGTGCAATTCTTCCACAAACCAAGAGTGGGCAACACATAGTATGCAGGTCACAGGTGGTCCCCACTTGTTAGGCATTATGTTTGTGTGTATGCAAAATATAGTCAGTGGACCACACAAAGCTGTAGGCATTTTTCTGATCCCCAGCATATCCTGGGATATCGGCCCCCAATCCTCTAAAACAACTATAAACATTTTTGAGAAAACATGTTTCATTCAGAATCCTCTTATACTATACCATGTTTTGAGGGACCACCAACACCCTGTATACTGCCGTAAAATTTAATTTTCATAGCACTAAATATGAACAGGAGGTATAGTTTAAACTTTTAATAGTAGAACCCATATTTCAGTTAACAAAATCCTACTGTTCCAACCTTTACAATATATAACTACTGCATTAATAGTTTAAAAAAATATGAATAATTAGGGGAAACAGTCTGAAAAAATCTCTTTACTACTCAAAGACCACAACTGGCTAGGTTTCACTTGGTCTTTTCTCCCAAAAATTTCCTATATGATGATTAGACAAGCCATAAAAATCTTTGACGTGACCATAGTCTGGATATAACCATGATAATTAGAATAAGACTGCACAGGAAAAGATTTTGTTTCTAACAAATATTACTTTCGCTAATAGTTTTGGACAACTGATTACTCACCTCAGAGTTTGATTTGCAAATTTTCCTGCCACTTTATTCTGATTATTTTGAGGTTTGACTTGGCATGAAGCAGCATATGCATCAGTGCAGGAACCTCCTGTTGTTTTCCCACATACATTCAGGTAATAATAATATTCTTCTTTGTCTTTAGCAAGGTAAGGTGAAACATAGTCTAAAGAAAGGGAGGCATAAGATGACTGAAGCACATTTTCAGTTAAAGGTATTTAGCCAGCTTTACATAGAAAAATAAGGCTTTGCATTAAAATGTATTTTGTTTTAGTCCTGTTACTACCCACATGTGTAATCTCAGGTACCGCCTTCAACATCAATTATCAATTTTTACCATGCCCTCCTAAAAAACACATACATAGTATGGAAAATTTAATTGCAGACCCTCCTAAAAAACACATACATACATAGTATGGAAAATTTAATTGCAGGATGTTGTAAGCCACACTTTCAATTAATTTATTATGCAAACAAAAATCATGTCAAAAGAACCCTCCTGTGACTACATCTCAATCTCTCATGCTGTGATTTAAACCCTCTGTAAAAAGACGCTCATTGTGATTTCAGTGTGTGGTATGCAGATATTAGCTTTTTCTGCAACAGGTTAATTTGAGATAGAGAGAGCTTTACATATATAAAAACCTTTCAAAATAAATAGCTCTAAAAGTGGTACAGCCCCATATGGGTTATAGTGCACACCTTCAGTAATAGCCAGCTACCTCTCAGTTAAGTTGCCTGACAAGATAGGAACCCGCAGCCTACAGTCGTAATTTCACCTGCAAAGCTTCTTGTGCCCTTACTTCTAACTAATGAACAGAGCAGAGCAGAGGGACACTTACAATCCAGCAAGATTTTGTATTAAAACTAATTCTAATTTGTAGATCTAGAAAATTTTGTAAGGATCCCTGGCTCCTGATGTCCCGCCTTCCTCTCCCCATAGGATGGAACTTTCCCTCCAACCCATGACAGACAGGTAACATCAGTGCTGTATGTAACACCTCCCCTCTTTATAAGTTGTTTTGTAGGGGGAAAGCTAAGGTGCTTTTCACCAAAAAACAACCTGGACCCAAAACAAACAAAAACAGTCATATAATAACATACAATACCATACTTACTTATACTTACACTCTATTAGGCATTTAAACATTTACCATTAACAATACATCAAGTTACCTTTATTCATACAAACCAACATGTTTAATAAACAGACACATTTGACTTTTTGTCATCAAAATATATACATAGTCCATGTTTCTTTCGCCGTCTTCATTCTTCAGGTCTTCTTGACAAGGCGTCAGCAACACAGTTCACTGACCCTCTGACCACCTTCACCTCAAAGTCATAGTC